TTGACTCCATGGCTACGGCCTTGCCGTGCAGGTACGGCAAAGGGCTGCTACGGCTCCTCCGTCCTGCCACTTTATTAATGTTCCGTTGCTTCTGTTGTGTACACAAGGCGCATTCGCGTCTCGGTCTGCAGTTTATATTTCGTAGGCCACCGAAGCACCCCCCCCCCTGCCGCCGCCGCGCAGACATAGCGAGGGAGCTGCACGCGGGGACTGTACGCGCAGTCTTTGTGTCTGCCGCTGAGAACAACGAAAAATAAATGTCAACCACCAATGTCATTCTTTTCTCTGCTTGTTAAGCCTCATCTTCTAGCATTCATGAAGATAGTACTGAAAATATTTGTGTCCAATCTCGCGACGGACCACGGCAACACGACGTGACAATGTGAAATGGCTGATGGCGAACGGGGGACATCTCCCCGAATTCTCTCGTCAGCTGCGGCCTCTGTATGTTTGTTTGGACAGTGAGGTCTCATCACAAACAAGAAAGGGAAGGTGACTTGCATCTCACAATTGAGTGATGGCCTGGGAATCGGTGGTTAAAAAAATTGACAATTTGAGAACAAGAGTACCGGGAACTCTGCTATGGCCATAATTTATACAATGGTCATTGTCGTGGTTATGCTATTTTAATCATGATGGTAAAGGATGAAATTCCATCCTCATTAGAGCCTGGAGATGTAGCACATTCACAAGTTGACATTCGCAATGCATTGAGAAGCACGGAATTGTAATTTGCATGAGGATAAATGAAGAGTTTTTGCTGCGCAAGTCACGGGCGCCTAATCGAGGGCTCCTAAAGCGAAGACTGCCAACGAAGCTGCATATTTCTTCTTGGGACGTTGCTCGAAGGAAGCCGCAATACCACGGATCGCTGGCGTGGCATCGAGTGGCCAGTCTTCAATGTGATGCATCTGACAGAGAGCAAGTTGCTCAATATGGAGGTTCTCAATTCATAGGCACCTCGCCCAGGAGAAGAAAAGCATCCTCTGATGTCACAGGGTGCCGCAGGAGTGATGGTGGTATCCATCTGTGTGGGTCAATCATTACCTACCTCGTCCCGCCCCCCAGAATAGATTCCTGCATTACCAATTTGGCTCAACAAATAGTGGAATTCACCCTTGTCTTATATAACTGCTGCTCTGGGTTTTCCTTAATGAGTGAATATGGTCCAATTTTTCAGCAAACCTTGTTTGGGCAGCCCTAACAGTGCGGAGACTTTGTTGCAGCGCAGTGCGTTTTCATGTCAATCAGCAAACATGCAGCTGTACTTAACACCATCAAGAAAGGGGATATTATCTCACCTCAATTATTGGCTTCAACACATTCATAATACTGTGTGCCTTTGGCTTTACGGGCCACATCAGTTCCCATTCCTCCTTTGCGTGTCACGTATTCTGACCGGAGAATTACACGCCGGTCGTAGTCTGCCGATATTTTCGTCTCGAGGGCCCCAGCGTCGTGATGGTTTTGCTCGGCCTTGCTCTGCTGTCTCGTGACTCCAGCAAGCAGGAATGCAAATCACTTTCCGTCTGTGGCAAATAACTGGTGCCAATTGAAATTTCGTCGGCTTCCCTGTGCCAAGTTCTCTGAAGTTACGCTTTTCGTTTGCCAATCTCTCAAACAAACCCACATGAATCTAAACTACAAGGTTACATAATGCGCCTTTTGTATTTACCACAGGTGGACCTTGACTTTACTTTGAGTCACTGACGACCCATGCCCCAAATAAACATCTTTAAGGCGTGCGGGTGATTTAAGTGTGTCTGTGCACGTGTTTAGGTTAAGGTATACATTTTTCAGATCAGGGGTTTTTACCTCCTACATACTAAAGGGTTTATTTGCAATTTATATACCAGCAGAGCAAATGGTTTTACACGAAATTACATGTGTGACACACATTCACCTTCAGGGCAGAGGTCGCAACCGGGTACCCGATACCCGGCTACCCGTACCCGGTCGGGTACGGGTACGGGTACCCGTTTGCGACCCTGGTGCGGCCGGGTACGGGTATGGGTAGGCCGTGAGTCACCGGTGAGTAACCGTTTGTCACTCATTTCGGGTAGGGTACGAGTACGGGTAGGGAACGGGTACCCGTACCCGGCCAGGTACGGGTATGGGTACCCATTTGCGACCCTGGTGCGGCCGGGTACGGGTATGGGTAAGGAATCAAAACCCGTTTGCGACCTCTGCTTCAGGGGCTTGTTTGGGGCAGTACAGTAAGTAGGCTTCTGACTTTTACGTGCAGAGTTCGAATAGTCTTGCGTCGTGTGCGTCAGTCTTTTTCAGCTCCACTGGTTTCCTCCCACGTGATGAAATGCAAAAAAAGAGGTAATGTCCAGCACTTGCCAAGCAGACAGGGCCCTCTTGAAAATTGACTCACGTTGAATATTTTCCTCGATCTGGCACGGCCACGTGCCATAGCGCATGCCAGTGCGCGTGCTGTACAGGGGCTGCTGTGGGGCGTCTTGGCCAAGCGAGAGCCGCTTACTTCTTTCTGACTGTGGGGGCTGCACATAGTTCATCAGGAATGCACGTCTTTCTCCGAGAGCATTACTGTAAATGGACTCGCGCAAACTCAGGACAGTCCTGCGTCTCCCTATATGGCTCTTGCCTCGCTCATTATTTTCCATGGCACGTTTCCGCAATCCTGATAAATATTGATTTACGTCTGGTGCGCTATCACTGACTGTGCCTATAAATCCATAAGGTGCAGACGAGGCTTTTGTGCGTCGACAGTATTGTCTCGGGGACCTTTATGGTTGCAGACTTCGAATTGCATGCTTGAGTATGGCGACTTAGTAACTCCGGGAATTTTGTAAAGGAAAAAAATGCCTTTACACAATACTTTACAAATGTGTGCTTGTGTGTGCATAATGATGGAATTTATCGTTATATACGTACTTCAACCCGTGATTCCTCAGTGGTCGATATATTGTGGACAGTTCTAAAGGTTTCCTTTTGATTGACTGGTTTCCACCAAAGGAATATGGAATTTCCGTAATCGTCTAAAGATAATAAACAAAGCTGAGCACCGCCTAATGCTCATTTGTGTATCGGACAATTTGGCTTTTGACTATATTTTAGTGTGAAGATTAATGCCTTTGCACTGTGCAATTTTTTTTCTCCCGAAACCAAAATATTGGCCTTTAACAGTGGCCCCCACTGACCATGGGGTCGGTGTCACAGGGAAGAGTTCCCTCGAGTCCCGTCTTGATTGTTGTTGTTTATTGCCCTGTGTCACCGGTCATGCCTCATGTGCTGTCACGTTTGCTCGTGAACACAGCTGATAGGAGCAAGCTGCCCTCCCTTAGTGGACCGTCCCAGCAAAAGACTAATTTTTCATTCCGGCCACGGCTAGACTTGGGGGAGGGATCCGAGGCTGGCGTCTCTATTGTGCCATTATTGTGGCCAGCAGTGTAAGACATCGTGACCTTTTTGTCCTGTCCCAGCGGCCCAGCGGTTGCGGAGCTGCCAAATTTGCGTGAGTAATGGTGATAAATCCGGGCATTAGAGTGGAGCCCAGCTGAGCCTCCCAGAGCCAGGGTGCTGTGTGGTCACATAAACACTCGCAGAGCAGCGGGTGCTTTGACTCCACAAAATCAAAACCAACGAGCGGAAGTCGCCACGTCGTCATTCACCCTGCACTCTTGCCAGTTTTTAGAGTTTAAGTAATGGATTTAATTTTCTGTATTCAGTCTTTGTTCTCAGTATTTGTATCTGATATTCCCCGTTGGGTGGGTCCTGAGTCATTTTTATGAAAATTCGCATGCGTTCTGAATGTACTACAAAGATGTAGCAAATGTATTGCCAGTATCTTAAAAACCTTAATGCATTTCTATCCATTCTCAATATGTACACCGTGGGCACAGACAGCTTTGACAAGAACAACTTTTCTCTGCAATATCGTGAACTGCGTTGTCCAGTTTATTTCTGCATACAATTGTAGTGAGTTCAACTGAGCCGCAGACGTACTCCTTGGAGTCAACACATTTATTAACACCAACACACGTGGTAACAGCCCCTTAACAGAATAACAACCTATGGTGGTGACCACCAGGCTAACTATACTAATTACACCATAACTAGCTACATCGGACCGGAACCCAGCTTGGGTCCCGGTCCACGTGTTGGAGACTCTGTAGGACGTAGAACGTAGACGAAGGCTTCTTCAGGATGAACAATAGCGGCCTGTCCCTCTGGGGGACCCGGTGGCTTATATCCTCTGTGGTGTGGCTGGCTCCGCCCTTGGCCACGACCACCTTCGAGAATCTTCGAGCAGGATCTCGACCCTGACACGTGACCACCCCTAGCCCCCACTTGGCGCCCCTGTTTAGACTTAACCGGTCACGTGTCCTCTGGGGTCAGCCAGAGTGCCACGGCCCTTAGTAATCCCATTCCCTGTGGCCGACACTCCTGCACCCTATCCTGTAGGGGCCGGCACTGCACGCCGAGCGTGGTGCCACTCAGCGCTGTCAGTCAGCGCTCACCGAGCCCCTCTAGGGCCGGTACTGCATCCACATCCAAGTGGTGTCCGCGATGTCGCTACATCGCACGCCGTGCCTGTCTAGGGCTGGCATCACACAGTGACATCCTGCGATGTCACTACACAATTTTAGGACGTATAAAATGTTGGCTAAATCTCAAAATTGCAGATAAAGTTCATACCGTTTAATTTCAACAAGTTTAAAGCTATGCATTTTCTGTTTTGAAAAAAAAGTTAAAATGTGCAACTTTAATATTTCATTAACATTTAAATTGAATACGGCCAGTATTAATGTACCAAGTGTATTAATATGAGTTGTGTGTGTGTGCGCTGTTTTTCGTGTGTGTTCTGCGTGCTCTGTGCGGTGTGTGGTGTGCCGTGTGGTGTGTGTGTGTCCTGCGCTCTGTGCGGTGTGTGGTGTGCCGTGTGGTGTGTGTGTGTCCTGCGCTCTGTGCGGTGTGGTGTGTGTGTTCTGCGTGCGGTGTGCCGTGTGTGCTATGTGTTTTGTGTCCTACAGACTCATTTGTAAACAGCCAGGAGTGGACCCTCAGCAGATCTGTACCAGAGCTCAAAGTGGTAAGTGTTCTGTGTTTCCTATGTTCTTGGTACGTAGAGGAGCAATGGGAAATGAGTACCTTGCTTGCTGTTAGTCAATCATTCTAATTCTTCGTTTTTTTTTTTAAAACCACTCATTGACCTATATTTGGTTGTTGGACAGCTTTATTCTCCCAGTACAACTCGGTGTCATTCTAATGTGCCTGTTGACATTTATTCATAAAATGTCAACATTCGCTTAATTAAAGTGTCGTGAAATTATTGGATGTTAGTAACAACGGTATAATTTACGTAAAAGCATCATTTTTAATATCAGTTTCTGCAAAATACTCTGGTAATTGTATTGCCGTAGTGGAATAATTTGTTTCGTACTCGAGCCTTGAGTTAGTCCGATGGCCAGTGGAGGTCCCTTACATTTGGCTTTCAGCTCATGTCGGAATGAACCGGGGAGTATTTTTATTTAATGTCATTTGTACATCTAGTCTTGTCTTCCCATCGAACCATTTGAACCCATCAATGAATCAACTTTTTAAGAAACATGCCTAAGCCCTTAATCTGTAACTACAGCTCACAGTGTGCCTATCTCAGCCTCGCTGTGCGCTGCGTTGCGCCGCTAGTCGAGTAGATAACCTTGCGTTCAATAAACCCTCGGAGCCAGGATGAACGTCCGACTCCAATCATCATTTATTGATTGTAACAAGGTAAAACTGGTGAGAAAACACAGATACAGCATCTGTTATAACCTGGAAACACCAATACAATGAACACCACAGCATCAGAACATTGTCTTAGATAACAATAGATCCTGGACGGACCAGGCCCCTACATTACCACTGAACTACACAAGAGCACGAGCCGGTGCGTTGCATACAGGCGCATCGTGTATTCATCCCACTGCACCCAAAATGTACAGCATTACACATAACACTAAACTATGGATGAGATACTTCATCATCTTTGCTCTCAGGATCGCAACATAGGCACAAGTCTGACTCGACCTACTAAATCACAAGTAACATCCACAATAAGGAAAGTTGCAGGCTTCGTTGCTAACTAGGCCTCGTATTTACCACAACAACTTAACGGCACCATAAAGGCATTTACATCACTATAACGGTCATTCCAACATTACAACAGCATTGCCAATTTTATAAGAATATAAACAAACTTACAGACAATGCTTCTCAAAGTCCCACGATGAACAACTGCGTCTGGCTTCACTGAGACGCGATGTGTGCCGCCATCTTGACTTATCTGTGTAATGGCCGACGCCCGCGTGGTTCAGTGGAAATCTAAAATAGTAACTTCCTGGTCACATGACCAAAATTAGCATCAAACACAGGAAATTCCTGTGTACATACGCCCCCCCCCCCCCCATCTGCCGTGCGGCAAAACTCCTGCCGTGAGACAGAACAGTGCCCATCATACGATACAAAAGGGCCCAACATTTTCATGATTAAATGTTTATCTTGTAATGACTGGCAGTGCCATTAAATACATTGCTCCGCGGCACTTCCCGTATACCACTTCTATGCCGGAACTGTAATTCAATTGCTGATTGGTAGCTTAAACAGGATCTGTGTCACTTTCCCCAGTGTTCCCGGATATAATTGCTACTATTGGTTAAGCATGAACAAATGTGGCTTTCAAATGGACAGAGCGTTTTCAGTTCTGGAAAACCGGTTTATCACACATTCCATAACTGGGCTCTCCACTCTATTTTCAGCTGCAATTATTCATGGCAGAAGACAAATTTGTGACCCAACCGCAGATATGTTCTCCACAGTCTTGTATTGTCCGCACAATCTTTGCTGTATGTTAGTGGGTTTTTTTAATGTAATATATACGGGGCTTTGTAGTTATTGCAATGAAGGATCATGAGAGGTGGTGGTGGCTTGGGGGGGGGGGGCTTTCATCCAGCAGTGGATTGGCCATGGCTGAAGATGATGAAGCTTTATAAAATATTACAACTTCATTGGTATTAACTGCCGAGTTTGGCTGCTTGATGGATGGAGTGGAAAGTGAAGCCTCCACCACTGGCTCAGGCCCACCAACTGGCATGAGCACTGCTCGGTGTATGTTAGAATGGGGGGGGGGGGGGGGGGCAGATGACTTTAAATAACCATTGGAGAGTGCGTATGTACCTTTTTTGCAAATGTAGCGCGTGGGGCCGGTGTGCGTGAGGGCGTCGCTTCCCTTTGATAACGGCACAGGGGTAGAGGTGCAGGCTTCATTAGGAAGTGCGTTTGAGGCAGCAGCGTGCCCCTCTCCGTTCTGTTCGCTTGTTAGCGCTACTATCGTAGGCGCGGCAACCTTTGTTGTGCAACTACATCGCTTGCAGAAAGGGCGGCGCGATAATGGCTCCTGCCGCACTTTTATAATTATGTGCACGATTTCCCAACGCGGGTAAAATTTAGGACGGTAAGCATCGTTTCCATCGTATTCGGGACACCCGCGGATGTTGAGCAGAGAAGCGTGCGTGGGGCTGGTGCGACCGCACTGGCGGTCTTTCCAAAATTAGGCTCTTGTGGCTGTAGGAATTAAAACGTACGTCCGCTGATTGCGACGTGAAAAAAAATTTCCCCAAGCATGTGTCTCGGTGAAAGCTCAATGTGAAAAAAATTCTCGCCTACAATGTCCACTTCTCTCTCTGCTCGTGATGCGGTTTGACAATTCGTTGAGGGGCCAGTGTTGGGTTGCGCTGTGCCCTGCCCCTTTTGCGAAGTCTCCGCTGATGAGTCGTGTGGATCGGCTCCAGACATGAATTTTGTCAGTGGCCTCTCTGGTGGTTCGTGAAGACGTCTCCGGGCCAAAACACTTCCTACAACCCCGTTACACATCGACGCATGCGCAGTAAAGAGACGCGAAATAAAAATGTAGAAACAAAGAGAGGCGAAAACCTATTTTATTGGCAAATTAAACCTATGTGGAGGTTGTATAAAGTGTTATGCTTGTTTTAAAAATATATATAAAATTTTGAAAAAAAAATATATATAACATTTTGAAAAGAATAATGAAATTGTCAAATCAGAGATTTGTTTTCATGTCAGTGGTGGCACCGTGTGTTTTTGCGGTGATTGATGCCAGGGCAGGTCTATTGAATAATTGGGTAAAATGTAATCAATGCAATAGCAGACCTGGCATTGTCTTCTTATAAACCTGCACGAGAGCACGGCCCATCCCCCCCCCACGTGCCGAAGCGTGCGCATGCTGCTCTCTCGACGTCTGCCCGAGGGCCAGACCTTCCCCGTGGCTCTCGGCTATAAATACAGCATATGGCTTCTCTCCCACTGGTCATCACCAGAGAGTGGTTCCCATACAAATGTTTTTTTTTTGCACCGTCAGGGAACCAGCTGGGTATGATCTTTGTCCTGGCTTTATGCTATCCCAATACTTTTATTTTTTCGAAGACAAAAGATTAAAAAAAAAACTGTGATCCGAAAATGGTGTTGCCAGAGTTATATGAATAATTATGAGCAATTATTAGCTGGCTGATGCGTTGCTCCAGAAATAGCTGTGCCCCTTTTGTATATTTTATCACCAGTAATTGTATTCATGTAGTGCGTACGTGTTAATTGTCTCGCGTTTGTGTCACCACAGTCTGCTGTTCCCAGCAGAATGTTCGGCACAAACCGGATTCCATACCTCATGGGGAATTTCCTTATTACACGTCGAGCAATGATTACAATTTGAACTCTGCTTTGTCCTAATTTTACCTTTCACGTTGTTTCGTAGCATGTCGTGTTCGTGTGTGTTTTTTCTCACTATGATGTTGATGCATTATGTCACCGTATTGTTGTGGTTTTTGTTCTTGTGTGTGTGTAAGTCGTTAATTACAACTGTAAGCCCACCCCTGTGTTAAAGGAACAGCATTTCCCAGACTCTATTCTGATTTCTTACTTGCACCTTACTCACATTTAATTATGTAATTATAGTTTACGTAATTTTGTCTATCCACTGCTGGATGAAGGCCTCCCATGAATGCCAACTCTGGGGTGGCCTTCGTGTCACCAGTTGGGAAAAAATAACACGAAGCATGGTTAGGATGTGCCCTTTGAAAAGCCTTCAGCTTAATGTATATTGCATTACATGAAAGTAACCGATTTTCAAGCACGCGTTCTGTGTGACTCTCGTTCAATGGCAGGCCGTGAAAAATTCTTACACATGGTACTTTTTTTTCTTGGTTCCTTCGATAAAGTCACGTAGAAGGGAAATGATACAATATAAAAATAAAACATAATAAAATAAAATTATTACAACGTTTCGGCCACAACACAAGCAGCCATCCTTAAGTGAAGACAGAGCTGTCTGAAAGACAGCGCTCCAATGAACACTGCTATATAATGACTATCATATAGTTATATACCCAGTTACTTAATTATATATAGTGTATTGTATACCCAGTTACTTCATGTTAATAGCTCAGCTTATTGGAGAATATATTGAGTACATTGATTATATTTATGTAGTTTATATATAGTTCTTTCACATCGGTTTATTGTATGATAGTGGGTGGTTGCAGTTTTTTAGCGTCAATATACTAAATGCCTCTTGATATGTAAACTCTGACTTTAACATAGCCACTTCCGTGACCATTTACATGCTAATTCTTCACATTAACATCATGCTAATCTCCCAGTTACATGCAAATTTCTGACTTTAACATCCTGCTAATTCTCTCACATTAACACAGCTTATTCTATGCTAAATTCTTCTGTTGACATGTAAACTCCGTTGTCAAGGCGGTCTTCTCCTCCCACCCAGCTTAAAATACGCTGCCAAGCTTAGCAGTGTTCATTGGAGCGCTGTCTTCCAGACAGACCTGTTCTTCACCTGAGGACGGCTGCTTGCGTTGTGGCCAAAACGTCGTGAGAATTTTATTTTATTATGTTTTATTTTTATTATTTTATTATTTCCCTTCTACGTGACTTTACCGAAAGAACCAAGAAGATGAATCCCTGCAGTCACGAAAGCTTTAAATCGAAATTTAACATGGTACTGTTGTCCATACTGGGTGAATGCGGCCTAAAACTAAGTACCTGGTGCGGCGATTCAGTATCTCCAGTGTAGAATCAAAGGCTGCTGTGCAAAGTACTCACCGTACCAGTGGCTTGTATCCTGCTTAAGGTTTAAGAAGCACTCACTATGCACAGACTTTTCCGCTGCTGTGACTTGGGCTAAATAAGGGATCTTTGTCTCTCCGCGTGTGTGCATGCACTGTATATGAGATTCCATCATAACAGTGTTGAGATTAGGATCGGTCTAAATTTGCACCTACTTCTACCAAAGAAGGCAAACTCCAGGTCACATTGATGAGCTGGTCGAGATGGAAAAACACCAACAACTCTATCCTCCATTGGTACCTCAGTTTCAACCCAGCTGCAAGTGCCCATGTGCAGCGCCAACCACGATGACTGTGAATATTGGGTCCTTTGAGATTGCTCTCCCAGTTCCCCATTGTTTCTCTTAGGGGGCCCGTGCATTGGGTGGACAGGACCAGGGGTTATTTACATTAAACGTATTTTGTGTAAATTTCCTAAAGCTTCTGTTTCAAATCGGTGTCAATTAAGATATATTTTCTCAATGAGGATGTTCTATACAACTACCCAGAGGACTTTAAATGTATCTGGGTCTGTCCGGGTCAGCTACCTGGAAATATTTACATATTTACTACCCCTGCCATGATAGTGGCTACAAGCCACGTGCCACCTACTACAGTCTGCCAGCGGAAAATATTCAGCGAAAACGTAAGCACTGGACGGGGGGACCAGTTTCGCGTAAATTCTGACCTCGGATTCGTTGTGCTGCACCTTCCACCAGGGGATCCTGGGAAACCTGGCGAGTGGCAAATCGGCGCTGGTGCACCGCTACCTAACGGGCACATACGTGCAGGAGGAGTCACCGGAAGGTAAAGCCCTCGCTTCGTGTCTCGCACGAGTTTCTCTCACCCCCGTTTTGCTCGTGTCCCTGACACTTCAGCCTCCGACTGTGGACTCCTCGCCATCTGTTCCTTCTTACCTCACATTTGTTCTGTTTCTCTTTCCCTGCTTCTCCTCTCTATATAACTTCATCTCCCAGGCGTTTTCTCGCTCATGTTTAGCTCAAAATCTGATTTGACGATTTCTCCCGTTATTCTGCTTCTCTACTATCGTGCTTTTGCGTTTAGTTTGTTGTCCTTCCCCCACACACCTCCGAGTAGCACGGTTGGCTACATACGGTGTGAAAGAAGCTCAACATACATACGTACTTGCTGTTCCGTTTCTGCTTACTGTTTCCTTCTGTCTCTGCGTCTTTAAATCTGTCCCCCTCATTTGGTCTCATTATTAAAAGAAGATCCGTGGGATTGCAATTCTTTGTCTCACGCCGTCTTTTGTGCTACATCTGCATAGGCACTTTCGCACCTGCTACGAGTTCAAAGACTTGCGTATTAAATGGAATTATGTTACCACGTAACTGATGAATCCACGAGCTAAAAGCGAATTAAACAATGGGTCAAATTGGATTTTGTTTAATGGAATAAAACCCCCACCTGCATTATAATTTTCAATTTGCATCCACACACAGTTGCTTCTTATTGCGTTTGGTCTTTTGTGCATTTTCTGCAGACGTGGCTTGGCTCGTATGTGTGCACCACTCTCGCGTGCGAGTCCTTAACTGCGGATGACAGACGACAATACTTGAGTTCTAAATGTGCGGCACGAGCAATTTTAGTTCGGACACGCCTCTCTCGCGCCTTTACTATGGCCACGGCACACTAAGTGCTCAATTAATGTTGGTCTTAACGTCAAATTACATCTCCCGGGCAGTGATCAGTATGACTGGGCTGGCTTGCCGTCTCGTTTCTGATATGCACCGTGCCGTGGCGTGATGTGGCGAGTGTTTAAGGTCAGCCGCCAGGCTTCGCGTAACCACGAGAAGCGAGACAGCTCCTGGCGTTACCGTACCCGAGTTCACCGCTGATCAGCCAGTGTTGAATCAATCACTGTTACGTATGCCCTTGGAAAGGATATGCATTATAAATACAGCTGTCATGTGTTTGTTCCTGATGTCATTAAATTTAAAACAACCACTGTGTGACATTATCCCAGTCTTTTATTTTCTCTTAATCTGAGTCATGGCCCTTATTTATGTATGTTCTTCTTCTTCTGTTTAATTCTAGCGCTGGAAGCAGGTAAAATCGTGTATTTCTATTTGATTTGTTTGGTTTATTTTCTTGGGTTTGTCATTGGTGTTTTGCCACGGGCCATGTGTCACGTGTGTGCAGCGTGTGGCTGTGGCACAAGACCCATGGTTGTGCTGTGAGTGGCCCTGGCTGCTGCGAGCTTCACTGGATCCATCGGCTTTTGGTCTTGCACGTGTCGGTTGGAAAAGCTGACCCGGTGCTTTGTGCCGCCCGCTCACTCGCTCGCTCGCTCGCTCGTGGCTTTCTCGGTGCTTGTTCTGCTTCTCCTGTGGGGTTCAGCACTGCTGCATGGCATGATGATGTCCTCACCCTTGACGTTGTCTGTAGTCGAGCAAGCGCGGCTGTTTTCCACGTTCGCTGTTTTATTAGCGCAAACGCTTCCTTTATACTCAAGCTTATTCTGAACAGAAAATCTCCTTGCGAAGAACACACGGCAAATGGAATGAAGTTAAACAGCAACAGTATTTAAGTGTTGTGTTCTGGGTTAGACCACATATTGAGCATATCTTCTCTCAAGTTTCTGCCATGACCAACTGCGGGGATTTCCAGCAGTAGCACATGGTTCGGATGCTTCAGATGAGTTGCGCTCAATGCTCAAGCGGGGAGGACACGGGTGTGCTCAGTTGGAGCTCGTCTTCTATATGATATCTGTGGGTGATGGTAAAGGTCACCCATGGGACCTTTAACATCACATGGTTTTTATTTTGCATACTCTTCAGAGAGGTGACATCAGAGGGGCCATTTTTGTCAGTGGCCACCTTTACTTAAACCTACCCCGAGATCCTAACAGATTCCATTATGAGCAGTTGTTCAGAACTGTTTCTGCTTTTGCTTAAATTACATCCGTATTGTTTGTGTTCTGATGAATTTGACACGTATTCAGAATAGGCTTCTAAGTGTAAGCACAGTTATTATGTTTAAATACTCCTTACAAAAAAAAACCTTAGTTAAAAAATATGTTTAAGCAACCCGTTACGTATGATTATAAACCAATGTTGCTGTGCTGCTCTGATGACAAACAAAGAGCTGAGCATTGCTCCACTAAATCAGCAACTACGATAAAAACGCTCATCACCCCACGCACTGAGTTCATAGTTCGAAGTGGCTGTCAGCCACTGGAGTTACTTCTTTAGCAGAGGACTGAGCGTGTCTCCTAATTAAGCCATGCACAGACCTCGGCGACTGGATTAATAATGTATCCACCTTCCCTCCCGACAGTAAACATTGACGCCAATTAAAATTAGCCGTGTGGCTGTTTATCGTGTTGCCACAGTGCAATGCTGCTGTAATGATTTGTATGCAGAAGCAGCGCGTGTGTTGCTATGTGCTGCCAAAAATCAGAGTGAAACAATGAACGTGGTACTTTAGCTGTCAGCCGCATTATTAAAATAACACGCATTTAAGAAATATTGAAATAAAATCAAAATTGCCATACTTTTGGAATTTCCATGTGGCAATGGGATGGGAGGGAAGAGTGAGGTGGTAGCGCACTGAGCGCTAATTATGTCTCTGAAGCTGAGGAATGACATCATTCCCTTGGTTGTCATGGCAATAGATACTCACTCTGCCTCTATGCAATATGGGTTAGAGAGAGCTGTTTTTTTGTAATTCAATTATTTATTTACATTTTTAATTGCCATGTAGAGCCATGACAATGTTTGGTTATTATTTAAGTGCATATGTACATTTCCAATTTTATAATCTATGAGAAATCTGTGTAGAGGATGGAAGGAAACACATTCCATTAAAAGTCCCTGGCATATGTTTCTGCCGTGAAAAAATAAATTAGTGAATCAATAACAAGCCGCTTTATCACGGTATTGTGCGTGGGCATATAACAGATGCATATGCTCATTGGAATGAAATTCTTATTGGCAGAATATAAAACCATTTACGATGGTCACATGACGCGAATCAAGTCTTCGTGATGCGATTTTGCAGCTGATGCTGTGAGGCCAAATGTCAGGACCCCGTGAACTCTGCCTCAGTGGTGCCCCCGTGCAGCTGCTGGTGCTGCTACTGCAGCTACTGCAGAAGCCACCACATTATTACATCGCAAGAGAACAACAAATCAATCTTTTGAAGTTAAAGCAATGGCGTCCGTCCAGCTTGGAGTCCAATTCCCTTGGAGCCTGGGCTCAGCCAGCTCGCCCTGTGACCCTGGGTTGTAGTATCGGCAAGGGAAAGATAAAAAAAATAACATTCTCTGTCTCTTCCTTGATGTGAATCGAGTGTCGCGTACGGTTCATTTGATGCCCTTCTCCCGAGTCCCATTGTTTATTGAATTAAATATAGTGTCCCAAGATGTACAGGTTTACCCAACAAAAATCTATATTCCACCAAACACTGCGCAGGCAATGAGGCACGGATGGTATCCTGGTGATGGTTGGTGACAGGCCACTTTTGGCCATGATAATGCACTGGGGCAATTTTATGGCAATTGACAATCGTCACCAGAGCTGTTTGCCACGTAATTTTTAAATATATATTTTCGGAATTTTCCTATAATTCGCAAAATATGAATGCTGCTTACATCCTCTTAGAAGAAAATGGGATGGCAACTTCCAAATCACTGACAGGTTAGATGACTGCCTAAGGTCGTGTGCTGTGTAGGCAAATCATTGTTCATCAAGCAAATATTTCAACAAACTCTGCTTTCATTGGCTAGACATTCTCTCTGTCACGATGTCGTTGCTGTACCGAGTTGCCATAGTTGCATATGGTAATTGTGCTGCAGGAGACAATTTCTGGCGACAATTTTCCTTCAATTTCGATTTAAAGCTTTCGTGACTGCAGGGATTCATCTTCTTGGTTCTTTCGGTAAAGTGACGTTTATTTATTTATAATTTTTTTATTTCCATTCTACGTGACTTTACCGAAAGAACCAAGACGAATTTTCCTTCAAGTCCATCATGATCTCACGAAACACCCTATGATGCCTGCTTCACAAGCTGAGCCTGCCTGCGAAATGTGCCTGATGGCATGGCAGGGAGTGGGAGGTTAATTTTTGCAAAGAATTCCACACTCTACCCATTGCACATTGATGGACACTAAACACTGGAAATCACTTGCTTGAAACAAAAGCTTAATATTAAATTTTAAAAGCCACAAAAGCATGTGCCGTCATGATCATCGTGCTTTGCGCTTGCTTCCTCGTGCTGCTTTTCTCTGTCGTTGATGACAAAGGCTTCGGACTCCCTCAAAGTATTCCTGGCACAAAGCAATGTAGCTGCATGCAATTAAACGCTGCTTTAATATAACGCGAACCCTCCCACCCCTCTGAGACGGGTAAAAAAACATCGTTAAAGAATAGTGACGAATAAAAACGGCATTGCTGTTAAAGATCTCAATTAGAGATGTAAGAACTGCAGGCCCTCAACCCGGTTTGCGTTCAGTGGGGAAGGCGTGATATCCACACCACGTCGCGCATGTCATGATTAACACTGTACATCACAAATCAGGTGGCCCATGAGCAGCTGTGATTGAGCCAGCGACAGAATCGTGCTTGGGTTGAGTAAAGAGAGCAGGGAGATGTTCTAATGCGATATTCTTCATTGACATTCATTTAAATACGTATTCCGATTGACACGTTTTCATCGCATTCATTACACGAGAACAGAACTGTCGACTGTAACGTGCGCATTGAATCGCATTTTGCGCGCGTGACTTCCGCGCCAATGCGCCGATTAAAGAGCACCCCCCTCCCCCCCCCCCGCATGAGGCTCCGAGACGAGAACAGGAAAGTGTAAAAATAGAAATTCGCAGACAGTAGGAGGGCATTGAGAAAATTGACACCAAGTCAGTTGTGAATGTACGAATAGACTTCAGAAGAGGATGCCATTCGTCATTACACAGCCAGAAATACACATGGCCAGAATTTGGCAGGATGAGAAATAAATTCTCTAACCTGTGATTATTATTTTTTCCATTTCAACTGAAGTCAGGTTATAGAGGAAGTGTAATGAAAAGAGACGCGTGTTTTCTCCAGCGTTGCCTCAAATGTGATGCAGCCACATCTGCCTGAATGTGAATACAGAAGATAACAAGAGCTGGCAGAGCAGCAGCTGGTTGTGCGAGGTGGTGGTCGTGGTAGGAGGTTTATAGACAAGTATTGCTTCGTGTTATTTCTTTTCGACTTAAAACTACACGTCAGAACTCGTTTTTGCACATCTATCTTTAAACATTTTTAAAAGATAAAAAAACAGTAAAGTTGTAAAATTTGGAATAATAATTTTGACATGCGACTGCATGGCCCCCACCCACGCTATATTGAAATTAATTTGGTTTGCTATAGCGCCTTCCTTCATGCCAGGGCATCTCAACTCACATTGCATGCGATAAGTGACTTGTGTCACATCTCATCTCAAATATTTGAAAGGTCACGCCCAGTGGCAACTGCCCCTGTAGGCAGACACGAGATGATTTAGCGCCTGCTCTGTAATTAGGCATTGTTGTGCCAATAGGGGGCTATGATTTCTACGTGTCATCCCATCAATGCGCCTCATGTGGGGAAGTATGATCTGGCCCCTGGTGGTGCTGACAGGCTCCCACCTTCTTCTCTGCGATCCTCCGACGTTGTTCAATCGTGCATTGTGGTCTTCTTAACATTCACAATGCCGTCTTTTAAGACGAAAATATTTCAACTTGCGCTCTAGTTTTTACCAATCACCCACCATTAAAGTCACGTGCAATATAAATATAATACTTATCATATTTGTGGGCATCATGCTGTCAGTGTGTGACAATAGTGCGGTCTGTAGCTGGCCTGGCTGTGCATAACAATGACTTGCATTGTGCAACGGCGTCTGGGCACTGCTGACATTAAGTGAAGTGCGTGTGGCTGTCTGACACTGGCAGGCGGGCGTTTCAAGAAGGAAATCATTGTGGACGGACAGAGCTACCTGCTCCTCATCCGGGATGAAGGTGGTCCCCCAGAGCCCCAGGTAATTGGCAGCCTCCACTGGCCACCACATCTCCACACAAACTCTCTTTCAAGTGGTTGAAATGTAAGCACGAGAGACCAGAACATTGACCACCAAGCATTGCTGAAAGCTTCCAGACGTGTTCCCGGCACACGGAGTGAAACGTCGGACATTGCACCGAACAACAACCGTGGTATCACCCGAAAAAACATTGGAGAGATGCAGAGAACAAAAGCGAAAAACCTTCACAGTCGTACAACCCTTGACCGTTCCAGTGGTTGGGTCTGAACGATCTATAACAAGCAATAATGTTTATTTTCTCACAAAAGATCAATCATTGATCGCTTTTTGGAAAAAAATATGCAAATTGTCTTGTGTAACGGTTATGCAAGCGACTGTAACACGTATAACCAAAGACATCGTCGTGCCCAGACTCTTAGACCCAGGGCTTCATCCTCAGGTTCAGACTGATGGATCACCACACATTTTACATAAATGATGTTCTGCGAGGTTTAATGCACATGCTTGCGTACGAAGCATGTGCATTCTCAACCAGTGTTTGAATGACGATGCAGCGGCCTTATTGACTGAGAGTGAAATCGAGCAGCTTGCAGGTGATGTGTGTCAAGGCTCATATTTTATTAATGGTAGAGCGGTGTTGAGGCAGCGTGCCTGCCTGCGTGACGTCTTTGTTGCGCGCGCTCGCCTGCGCCTCACCCGCTTGCCCTTGCAGTTCGCATCTTGGGTCGACGCCGTGATTTTCGTGTTCAGCCTGGAGGACGAGATCAGCTTCCAGACGGTCTACAACTACTACAGCCGCCTCGCCAACGTGCGCAACGCCTCCGAGCTGCCGCTGCTGCTCGTGGGGACGCAGGGTGAGGAGGCACGAGTGTGCCACCTGACGTACCGGGCCTTGGCACGGCCACCTTTGCCTTGTGACCCCTGCTCTGTGATCCCCGCCCCATGACCCCCTTGCTCTCTACCGTCCAGTGGCCCTTGCCCTATAACCCCTACCCCATGACCCCTCCCATTCAGCTAAACCCAGTCTCACGGTTCACCGTGCGTAAGATCCTCACTGTTTAGTGGTCAGTGCTCTCCAAGGGAAGGACCCACTTTAATGTTTGTGACAACAAAAGCGGTCAGTGGTGAGCCTATTGTGGGCAGTGTTAAATCTACTAATTCGGGTCACAAAATAATAATGGTAACTAGAGGTCTGTATCCAACTTGTGTAGCTATTGCTCGGTATCCCGTAACACTATGCGGCCTTATACTTAAAATAGACCCTACTGGAAGGGACTTTTCAACATCAGTATCGTTAAAAGTGTACACAAGGTGCCGTTTTTCTCCATCCATTCTTATACTGCAGAGTTCACTGAAATATTAATTCTCAGAGCAGCAGTGTTAATCAACGTGTGGCGATTTTAAGAAGCGTATATTAACAAACTCTGCCCCCTAGTGTACAATGTGTGTGCTTGTGATTTTGATAATCTTATCCCACACGCTGTTGGGTCGTCAGGAATGGCGGTGGAGGTCACCATAGATCAAGGCCGTAATTATAATAGATATGGGGGGGGGGGGACATCCCACTCAATATCCCCCCCCCCCAAGATTCAAATATTCTCAAAATGTTCCCCCCAATTTCTTTATATAAAATAGATTTCTGTTTATGTGATTGTGGTTATGGTTGTACTTTATTAATCCCTAATCTCTGCAATTACATATAATGAAACAAGAAAAGGTAAAAAAGAAAAAAACAGAGGAATGGAATACAATGCACTGTTAGACATTATTGTAAAAATAAATAAAAAGTCCATCCTATGTGTTAGTGAATTTTTTAATATTTTAGGCAGGAAATGGCAGGAAATTCGTTTTCAAATGTAGATTTTTTTTTTCTAGGGGGTGGAATCCCCAGACCCCCTGGAAGATTTGGTCCCCCCCAATGTTGACTCCATGGCTACGGCCTTGCCCCAGATGTCTGCTTAAGAGAGTCTTCTCCCGACTACTTTGTGTGTCACCGAGCTACTCCGCACGTCAATAGAATCCTCTGCTAAGACAGCCGTTCATGGCTTGATGGGACCCCTCTCCGTAGCATTGTGCTGATTGAATACAAGAAAACCTGCGGTGAACCTTGCATCTATATTGATGTGCACTTTTCCAAAGCAAGTGATTCATACCTTCGTTTTCACGTCGTTTGGATTGGACACAAATGCTGGGAGGGTTTTGTTTGGGGGGGAAAGGAAAAAAATACAATGCACGCACCCACGCAAAACACGGAGAATTCTCATTCCACCCATTAATAAAATGACTCGACACGAACCTTCCCATGGCCTGTAACCACGCAACCCAGTCATCACAGCGGGTCGTTCAAGCGAGGTCATCGCCGGCGCTGTCGCTCTCTCCTCCGCACCCCCCCCCCTCCCCACAGACGCGATCAGCGCCAGCAACCCGCGCGTCATCGACGACGCCCGCGCCCGCAAGCTCTCCAACGACCTCAAGCGCTGCACCTACTACGAGACGTGCGCCACCTACGGCCTCAATGTGGAGCGCATCTTCCAGGACGGTGGGCGATGGCGAGCGGTCGGGGGCACTTCCGAGACGCAATCATGAAGGGATTTGAAATTGACGTTGAGAAAGAGCTCCGTTGCGAAGACCCTTCATTCACCCTTGCAGTGAATGATTTGTACGTATTTGCTGTACTGCGGTGGAGAGGCTCCATAGGGTTCAAGGAGGGCTCTTGCCTCTGTCATCAGGCAACCCAGGAGCATTTGTTTAACAGCTGATGAAAATTAGAAATCTGAAACTGGCCCAGAGTTTTCCCACGTCAAGCAAATGCTGCTGGAAAACACTTGTCCAGAAGCCACAAAGGTGAATTGCCCGAAATGTGTTAATGTTTTGAAATGGACCCTTTTGTGTTTATTGTTGCACAATCCACGTCTGTAGAGATTAATTGAAGCCGACTCCATTAACTTCACACAGAGCTAGTGCAGTAAACGCAAGTCACTCTCGCAATGCTCTGAGCCAGTCACTGAACAAATGCATTAATTTTCACGCATTTTATAGACGTAGATATTACAGGTAGGAACAACAGTTCCACACTGCCCACCAGGGATTATTTGTCTGTCGTGCATAGCCCCTCCCAAACATGTACACTCCCAGATTGGTTGAAGTGCGTCACGTGACCGCGAGCTTTCTGTCGTGCACGAATGCGCTGTCCAACCAAGTTCCTACCTGCCCACTCCGAAGGAACGTGTTGGAATAGAAAGCCACAGTGCGGATGTGGCCATGCAACCCAAACTATGGATCATATAGTACTGTAAACCAGTCGTCTGCACTCCTTCAATGGAAGAGGAACACCAAGGCTACACGAACTCTCTCCTGAAACCCTCTCGTGACTAACAAACCGAGACATTGGCATTGAGCTCCTGAATATGTTTGCATGTCCAACAATAAAATAATTTAACTTTCATGTCCATTTGTTCTGGACCTCTTATGAGGTCAGTTCAAACTTAATTTAGTACCTGGTATGGTTGTATTCACATTTGTTGCAAACAGTCTACAAAAGCGGTGCGCTGTGGTGCTCACCCTTGCGTATTGTGTCAGGCCTTACTAAGTACACATACCACTGTGGGACCTTTGCCTTAATTTGTACGTGTGTTTGCGTGAAAGCAGACGGCAGTGGAGTGTGCTGCAATCTCAGTCAGCTGTGTGGTTGTTTGTAAGATGGGGGGGGGGGGGGGGTAGCCAGTCCTTGGCCTGTGTTCTGGCAGCCCGGTTCTCGCGATTTACAGCTCGTGGAGAGGCCATTTGTTCACATGCAACACAAACAGTGTCAACACTGTCTGAGCGAGGCACCGTTGTATTTATTGGTGAGCCGGGCCTTTGTTTATGCTGTATATGGGCATTCTGGTGCTTTGCGTCAACAATACATTTTCACAGAAACTTTGTACAAATACAACTTGGCATATGTACAAAACCATATTTGTGTACGTTACGAATTTTTTTCCATTGCGGGTTTTATTTTTAACTCCACTATCAAGTGGCGATGGAAATCATTTAGCCCAAGGGTTGGCAAGCAAAATAACAAGGAGAGCCATTTTTTTTATTTTGCTAACAAAAAAAACTCAACATTTCAAGAGCCGCAATGCGTGCGAATACAAGACGGTCCTCAATAAATAACGGTCACAAAGCAGTCTTTAAAGAGCCGCATCCGGCTCCGCAGCTGCAGGTTGCCGATCCCTGCCCATGGTGAACTGGATTTCCACGGTCATGGGTCAGCAACCAAAATAAGAAGAGCCATTTTTTTTATTCGGTAAAAAAAAATCTACATTTCAAAAACCGCAATGTGCAGGCCTTAAAGAGTCACGTGCGACTCAAGAGCCACAGGTTTCTGACCCCTAATTTAGCCAGTCAAGTTATAATGCCTCCCAATGCTCAAATTATCATGGGATAGTGTTCATAACTAAAAGTGACCTCCGGCCAGTGATGGAAATTCCACATTGCTGCTGTCAGGGCCAGACTGTCTCATGGAAAAGCACTGCTGACGTTCCTACAAAGTGGTACCCGTTTTTTTTATTATCAACCTCTGAATGATGATGGGCAGACTTGTCACCAGACTGGGATTTGATATCGTAACCTTCAAAAATGCTAATTAAACTGTCCAGATGTGGCGCCAACCCAGCTGTATTGCTGGGAGAGTCTGAAAATAATGTAAGAGTTTGTTCCATGGAATTCTTTAAGAACAGAGAGCAACGTTGCCATACATAGACGTGTGCCGAGAGGGTCGTTCTGCAGTATCGGGGCAATGACCCCCCCCCCCACAGAAGACCTGTAGAACCTCCCTTTGGTTTTCATATCCAAGCTGAATTTCGCGATCGTTATGTATAACTTTATCGTTATCTCTTTGGAGAGATGTCTACACAGCCTGGTACTTAACTCGCTTCATTGGCATTGTTGCGAGGACATGCGAGCGCAAGTATTTACGCACTGTTCATCAGAGGGTATATTTGTATCATAGGATTGAAGCTTTCTTGACTGCAGAAATGACTGTACTCATTGTTTTTTTTTCCGGTAAAGTCACGTGTGTAGAAATAAAATGTAAAGAAATAAAGTTAAAATAAATCACGACGTTTCGAACGCAACACAAGCGATCATCATGATGATGATCGCTTGTGTTGCCGAAAAAAACAATGAGTACGGCATTTGTATCACCAACACTTTGCTCAGAGATAATGAACGCTGCGCTGCGCAGCGTTCATTATCAGCGTACACACGCTCGACCAGAAGGTGGCAGCGCAGGCTCATTCTTTACGTCTGCAAAGGATACAATTTCTATCGCCACGTAAGCATTTAAATAATACGAGCAACCTTCTTGGTTCTTTCGGTAGAGTCACGTAGAAGGGAAATAATAAAATAATAATAAAACACAATACAATTATTCTCACGACGTTTCGGCCACAACGCAAGCAGCCGTCCTCAGGTGAAGAACAGGTCTGTCGGAAAGACAGCGTCTGAAATCAGACGCGGTCTGTCGGAAAGACAGCGTCCGAAAGAACCAAGAAGATGAATCCCTGCAGTCACGAAAGCTTTAAATCGAAATTTAATACGAGCAAGTTTTAGCAGCCAAATGGTTTATTTAGATTTACATGAGCGGCAATTGAGATACCCCATGTATTTTTCAAAATAAATTTGGATAACCCAGAAAATATCGATTTAAAGCTTTCGTGACTGCAGGAATTCATATTCTTGGTTCTTTCGGTAAAGTCACGTAGAAGCGAAGTAATAAAATAATAAAAATAAAAATAAATAATACATAAAACATATTACTTCCCTTCTACGTGACTTTACCAAAAGAACCAAGAAGATGAACCCAGAAAATAGTAAAACAAATATTGGTTTTGGTGATAACGCCGTGCCATAAACGTTACCAACGTGGTCTCTCTTATCGATACAATATTTAAAATATGACTCTTCGTGCAGGATGGCTTAGAGGCATGACACTTTCCAACCAATAGGCTCTCAGTTAATTTATTAATTTATTCATTAAGCACGGCAGTCATCGGAGCACCATGGATGCCAATGTTGTTGATTGTCTTGACGTTTGCTTGTGTCCTTGACAGTCGTTGTCGTACATTGTGCAGGATTACTCGTCTGTGTGAATCACATTTGTCGTACAAAGACGCCGGGTGATTGTGCGTTCTGCTGTTGCTATGCACCCAGACTGTGGAATCCTACATTCCCTACCCATATTCTTTGGTTTTTTCGGTAAAGTCACGTAGATCGGGGGAAAAAAATGAATAAAAATGATAAAAAGAAAAACCACTCATGTAGACTGTAGCCTGGTTCTTAATCGGAGTGAGTGTACTGGCAGTCTATAATGTAGACTGTAGCCTGATTTTAAGCTGGTGAGCATATTGGCAGTCTGTAATGTAGACTGTAGCAATGGTTATTAAATGGAGTGAGCGTACTGGCAATCTATAATGTAGACTGCAGCCTGGTTCTTAACCTGAGTGAGCATACTGACAGTCTATAATGCCGACTTATTATTGGTTCTTTCAGTAAATAAAATAAAATATATATTTAAAAAAAACATATCAGGACACTAGCTTTTCTCGTAGTCTAATTGGATTTTGTCTCCCCTCTCAGTGTGATTATTATTTGAGATATTTCGATGTGAAGGGAGCTTTATAAAGTAAATACGATCATTATAATTGACCTCGGGTCGTTCTCTCCTGTTTATTTTGACCTCTCGCGCCCTTCCAGACAATGTTGGATAGGGCTCCATTCCACGTCACGTTTCCCAACCATTGCAGTTTCCAGTTCCGCAGAATTGTCGAGTGTCTTTTTTTTTCCCATCATGGATTTGGCTGACAGGTTCTATTTGTTTATCATGCCAGTTGCACAGAAGATCGTGGCGATGAGAAAGAAACAGCAGCTCTCCATTGGGCAGTGCAAGTCCCTGCCCAACTCTCCGAGCCACACCAACATGAGCACGGGCACCATCCCCTCCGTGCACATCAACCAGGTCGTGCTGTCTCTTCATAACAATGTAACAGCCCTTTTGTCGATCCACTGCTGGACGAGGGCCCCTCCCCATGCCGTGCGGGTCCCAGGGGTCATATGCCCACGCTGCAACACGCTGGTCCATGTGGGTTGGTAAAATTGGGGAAAATAGATGTGATAGCACAGACGTGTACAGTATGACAACGGGTTATCTTACACGGCCCTCTACTGGCCACCACGTAGCCCCACAGCAGCCGATAACAACCTGGCCTGCATGGTGGTCACCCAGTCACACGCTAACCAGGCTCAGTTATGCTTAGATTCCGAGATCTGAGAAGATCAGGTGCATTCTGAGTGAATTGGTCAGAGGATTTAACATGAACAAAAACGTCCATTTGCCTAGGAATGCTTCGCTGACTATATGGACTTATTGTATGGGTTCCTGCTTGGGATCTTTGGTCAATTTGTAATTTAATATTTGTTTTGGCCTCGGAGAAAACTCGCACATATATACAAAAAAAATTAACCCGTAAAAACAAAGTTTTTCACTATAAATCCTTTATATGCGTGGCGGCTAGAGTCCTCTCGTCCTCTGGCTTGAGATGGCTGCCACCTATGGGTCAGATGATTGCCTGCCACCATTGAGCAATTGGTAATTAAATTTTTAAAAAAATGCCTAAAAAGTGTAAAAATTTGGAAAAAAAATTTTCGCGAAAATTAATTGTCATGCACAACGAGTCTGTGTGCAAAATGTCAGCTCGATTGGATCACGGGAAGTGGGTTAAAAAACGACCGAAAGATTTGTACGGTCGTAAGCGCGCAAGCAAGCAAGCAAGTTTACTTAATATAAAGGATTTAAAAATACACAGATGGGCCAGAATCAGTCTGAGAAATTACGGACCATTAATATTGGCGTCTTCTTTACTGTTCCCTTTGCGTGCAGATTCCGGCCAGCAATGGTGGCGGTGGCGGTGGCGGTAGCGTGGTGGGTGGGGGAGGGGCATTCAGCGACTACTCGAGTTCCGTGCCGTCCACCCCGAGCACGAGCCAGAAGGAGCTGCGACTCGACCCACTGCCCGTGTCCTCCGGCACCCCCACGCCCGTGCGCAAGCAGTCCAAGCGCCGCTCCAACCTCTTCACGGTACCGCCGTTCATGCCACCACAGCGACGCACATCGTCTATGCACCGTATCTTCCAAGTCGGAATCGCAGTGTCTTACCTGCTCGCTTGTTGTTGGTTGCGACCATCCTCCGTACGATGATGGCTATTGACCTCTCACGATGGTTGTGCTCATTTGATTACTGATATCTTGTGGTTGTGCCATATAGCTGTTGTTTGGCATGATGCCAGCTCCTGAAGGAGCTCCCAAGCTCATGGAGCAATACTTCAGACACAATACCGAGTAACATACGGCCCCAAACCTACTCATTTATGGACCCCATGTGAATGTTGGGACTGGGCTGAGTCGACACCTGATAGGGGTGAAGGCCCTGAATCCCATCGTCACCTTTTGCTGATTGGGCCCCCTGTTGGCAATGATCACATTGAACAATCGGTCAACATGGGAATCTGGGCCGATAATTTACGTGATTTTACACTTCAGTGCCAACCAGCCATGTTGCCATCTTTAAAAAAGATTTATTAAAAAAAGCAAAAGCACATTCACGAAAGTTACCAGCTGTTTCAGTGTGTACACACAGCAATCGCTAGATACAGTGTGCAGTGAACGTATAAGGCCGCCCGCACTCATTACACACAAAGTGCTTGTCACAAATGAACCACAATAACTTGCTGATCTCGTCAAGGAGCATAAACCATCACGCGAACGCCACTCATCCTCGCAGCGGCTTATGGATAACCATTGAACAAAGACGGTCACTGCATCGCACGCTTTGAGATGCGTTTCTGCGGCCGTCTGGAACGCTCCTCCTTCCGATATATTAGGAAGCCACTGGAGCTATGCAATTTTAAATCTAGATTGAAAAGTCACTTCTTTAGAACTGATTTTTGTGTTTAGTTTGTCGTCCTTTTCCCATGCACCTCCGATTAGCACGGTTGGCTACGTACGGTGCGAAAAAAAGTTCAACATGCGTACATACGTAGCCGCCCAGGGTGTGCACCTACCTCACTCCAAGTAGAGCCATCCCCAAGTTCCACTGGAGCACGGCACGAAGTGCCACCGGCAGCGTCGCCTTCGCCGTCGCTCGGCAGCACCCGTCGCGCCGTAGCGATGCTCACCGGCTCCTGTTGTGCCTTACAGTCACGCAAGGGCAGCGACACGGAGAAGGAGAAGAAGAGTGTGGAGGCAAAGTCGGACAACATTGGCAGCGGCAGAGCCATCCCAATTAAACAGGTGACTCGCGCGTGCCGTCGTGACGCACCAGGCCAATTGTCAGAATTGCCGGTCAAGTGCATCAGGTTCTCGTTTAGAGGTTTCCAACAGTTATTCATCTGGCTATGGCAATGTGTACTGACGTTGAGTATGCTGCATAAAGCAATTGAGTGTAATGTTTTCAATTGTGATTGATGCGAGAGTGAAACACGATTAGTTGCCAATCCACATTATGAATATTACTGAATGAACTTAACGCTGATTGGTTACACTGAGTGCAGGAGGCCACATCATCCATGATGATAGCGCCATGGATGAAAACTAAATATTATTTGAAAACTTAATTTTTTTAGAATTGCTTTTTGTGTTTAGCTTGTTGTCCTTCCTCTGCACCTCCGATGAACACGGTTGGCTACGTACGGTGCGAAAGAAGTTCAACATACATACGTATAATGCCGAGCACTTACACCCACTCAGGCATTAACACTAATGTCCTACGGAGGCAGCAGCTGAGACTGCTGCAGTTACTATGTGAAATTTAAATAATGGGAAGTGCTGCAGTGCAGGCATTAAAATAGAGAGAACATGTTGTAGTGCGGAAATGAGAGCGTGCGTGTGCCCGTGAGTAAGAGTGCTGATGAGCGGAGCATGTGTGTGTAGTTGAGAGAACGATCAAGATCAAGCATATACGAAACATTTCGATTTAAAGCGTTCGTGACTGCAGGGTTCTTTCGGTAAAGTCACGTAGAAGGGAAATAATAAAATAATAAAAATAAAACATAATAAAATTATTCTCATGACGTTTCGGCCACAACGCAAGCAGGTGAAGAACAGGTCTGTCGGAAATGGTGGTGACGCTGTCTTTCCGACAGACCTGTTCTTCACCTGAGGACGGCTGCTTGCGTTGTGGCCGAAACGTTGTGAGAATTGTATTTTATAATGTTTTATTATTTTATTATTTTATTATTTCTCTTCTACGTGACTTTACCGAAAGAACCAAGAAGATGATATACTAAACACTCGCAAACTTGCAGGTGTGCATTTGCGCACGGTACGCTGGCTCTTCCTCGTGAATTGATGCTCGCATCCCAGGAGTCGTATTTCTGCAAATATTTAATAAACCGTATCCACGGCATCTGGCTAATGGGCAAACCTTGAAGGTGTAATTTTCCTCAAGGAAAAAAAAAACCAAACCGATAGTGCGTGATACAGGATGCCCCCTTTCTGAGTTTCTGAAATTTGCTGTGGCCATCATCACCATCTTCATCATCATAATCATCCTCACCGTCTATCATTTCATGACACAAGCCCTGCACCTGAGTCTCAATTGGTTTTAGTCAACTTATTTTTCCTTTGAAATCGTGAAGGTCCAAAGGATTAGCAATTTTAACTGCTCTCCACTCAGTATCCATGACTTACGCAGAAAAGACACTTGAATTTATTAAGTTCCTAGAATACATTTCAAGAGCCTTGCAGGAAACTCTCACTTGCTTCCAGAAGCGTTGTACTGGTCTCTTTTGTTTGTGGAAGTTGGCTTTTGCAGAAGTCACCCGTGTATCCTGTGTAATCTCAAGCTGCCCACGAATTAACGAGGCACCCAGGATGTGGTCGCTCTGAATCTCGCTTGTCACTCAGCTCTTTCCACGAGGGGGCGGTGTCGTCCCCTGTGAGGAATGTGACTAACGGTGGGACTGGTGGCCTCTCTGCACATTGGTGATACATTCCAGAGATTGAGCTCCCGTTTCTGGTCTTTTCTCAATTACTATCTATTGCTTAGTCACCCAGGGGCATTTGGAAGGTGTCTTATTGGTTCATTTTGTCTGCCGATGAGCCGAGGGCCTGGGCCCGTATCCTGGTAGTCTCATAGTCGTTGTGCTCCCCGCATTGTTCTGTGCATAGAGACAAGAGGGGGTTGTTGCTGCGCAGTTTACGCTCCTGAAGACCCCCGAGACAACATTCGCCAGAGTAGGTTATGTTGTGCCGGTGTTATAGCCCAACTTCACCAAAATAGTTCACCAAAATAGTACTAAATGGTTGATTCTACCTCAGGATAGTGCCTTGCACTCACCCCTTCACACTGCCTGGCCCCTGCTGGTAACATTCCCACGTCGAATATTAAGCAGGTAAAACTAAATAATAGAGCATAATTCACGGATTGTAATAAAAAAATATTTTAGATACATGTACTTGCCGGCCATTATGGAAGTGAATCATTGTCTGATTTCTTCCAATTTGTCCATTTTTACACAAACATTTTTTTGCAAACACTAACTTTACTCTTGCTCAAGGTACTTTATGCAACTGGTAAGTGATGAGATTCCACGTTAGTATCGCAGCGATGAACTAATTTCAAGCGGCATTAGCGCGCAACCTACCGCAGAGCAAGATTCAACACCTGTGCAGTGCCCACTGCAGTTGTTTTACTTACCTCACCCTGGCACCAGCATCTGAACAGGGGAACAGCTGGATGCCCAGTTATTGTTCAGGGCCTTGATGAGTTCAGGCATCAAAATGAAACCCCAGCTTAACCCCAGATGGGAACATTTACAAGTGGTGCGATAGCAATATGGTCATTTGGTTTCTCCTGCAAAAATGATTGGTATAATTTTTAAGCTATTTTGTATTATTAGAGTAATGTAACTTTGCTTTGATTATCAAAACCAATTCCTGCTATTCTTTGGAAATTCGTTTTCAATTATTGCTGCACTTTTAGCTCGATTGCTGTATAATTATACATTAAATATTTTATCCTCGGGTTTATATTTTATTTACAAGGCATTTCACGCACTTAATTTGTTTTTCCAAGTGCCCTCTCCGACAGCTGACGAGAAGAGCGTTGCCCGACAGTTAACGCGGGCCTGATGGCAGTCGTTGCGGAGTTCACATTGGCAGTAATTAAAGGAGATGCTCGGCTTAATGGACGGACCGTTAAAAACTTAAGAGACCCTCCGAGCAACCTCCATTAGATGCCTCGGCGCGGTTATGCTAACAAACATGGCCTTTAATCAGGAGAAGCCTGTTGCGACTCATCCGGTCGCTTTGGTGTTGGGTGAGGGCGGCGATCATCGCGTGCCGTCCATGGCTGATGTGTGGCTCCCAGATGGCTCGCACTCCACCTGTTGGAGCCATCAGAGGCACCCCGAGTTTTAATCAGCGCGTTATATCGGCCCTTGGAACCCTCTGCCGCCATCTGGCAGGAAGGGGCCCTCTCCCCTCCTCCAGCGATTACACGTGGCTATAACATGGCCCTCGCCACTCGCTGCACCGCTCCTAACGGCCTCCATCTGGGCTCGGCGAACGCCATTACGCGCCCGCGAATCGCTCCGGCACCGCGATTAACTCTCCCGCCTTCGCCGAGCACCGTGCCGCGCTCGCCTCTTCAATCACGCCTTTAATTGCGTCGCTCACCGTGGCTGCGCACCGCTCGCGTTCCGCCGCCGAGCGTCACGCGTGGGGGTTGGGGGGGGCGGCGGGGAAATCGAAGGCGCCGGTGTCAGTAATGGAGCAACGCAATCCTTGCTCTACCTCCCAATCCGCGAGGCCATTAAGGCCGGGGCCGTATTAATCACCTCCCGTAGGCCATTATGTTTCTGGATTAATCTTGCCTAATTGCAGGCGGGTATATCCATTAGCCACGCCTGCTTGAGCGCCGTCTTGCCTCGCTGCAGTCGGTAATGCGACCGTAGTTTGAAAGTAGAATTTGTTTTTATTTTTCCGATGCACGTTAAATCAACGCCGGGTTCACCTAATGGACCCCACTGGGTCAAGCTACAGTTTGGTGAAACGCACTGTTAAGATGAAGCCTCTGTTTGCTATGCGACTGCTTCATATTCTTCGGAATGCAGCACTATTTTGTATTTGGTCTGAAGCATTAGAAATTATTTTCAAAAAATTTAACTGAAAACACCAACCACTTAATGCAAACGGTAACAAAGGAGATTTGAATTTCGATTTAAAGCTTTCGTGACTGCAGGGATTCATATTCTTGGTTCTCTCGGTAAAGTCACGTAGAAGGGAAATAATAAAATAATATTGATATGAAACAATAAAAATTCTCACGACGTTTCAAATTTTCTTGCTGTGGATTTCACACCGGATGATGATTGCTTGTGTTGCAGTCGAAACGTCGTGAAAATTTTTATAATTTTATATTTTTATTATTTTATTATTTTCCTTCTACGTGACTTTACCAAAAGAACCAAGAATATAAAGGAGATTTGTTTTAAAATTAAACAAGTAATTGAGTAAACATTTGATTTAATTTTCCTTAATGAAGTGCAATTAAGGAGACACAGGCACCCACTAATCAATCAATCTCTGTGCATTATCTTAATCCTGGGTTGACCCCAGCCTGACCCCAGCACTGGCCGTGGCAGCCACCACCCTTCCCTCCTGTCAAGGGGCGATGAGTGGAGAGAGGGTGAAGAGCAGGGGACCTTTGGAACTGTTTGTTTGTTTGGTGGATTAGCCCCCGTGATGGCATGCGGCACATGACAGAGGAGGAGCGGCCGCTGCTTTGAAGCCATGAGAAAGCTGGGCAGGCGGTTTCCTCACAGCAAGAGGGCCCAACTCCCCTTTATCCTCACCCTGCGAGCGCTGCCATTGACCGGCGAAAAGGCAGCCACTGCTGCCCTGGGTCCCGGCGACCCCATTCATCACGGCGGCCTTTAGCATGCAAATCCGAGCGGCGGCGCTTCACAGGCCGTGTGTGCGCACGCCTCTCCAGCGCCTCCTCCATGCTGCCGGTCGACCTGGCCATTGTGCGTAGTCGTCACGTTTTTTGTCTCGCTCGATCGTGCCGCTCCGTTGTGAGCGACGCCGATTTTCTAGCCTGATCGCCGTGATACGCCTCGCCCCGAGCGTACACGGACAAGAGGAGTCCGGTCCGTGCCATCTTCGTACTATTTTGTCCAGCATGATCAGCTCCGTCGATGCTGGATGGAGGCCTCCCAACACAGTCGCCGGCCCACGTGGTCTTGCGATGCCACAGTCCGTTTCGCCCCTGCACCTGGGCTGATGTAGTCACTCTGTCTCTGCAGTGGCCATCATCGTGGGCATCTTTTGCCCTTTGGCTGCTATTCCATTACCAGTCTTAGCCATTGTCCTTCCTATTGATGCGTCATGCCCACACTCGAACTCATTTTTTGGAAGTCGGTGAGATGTCTCTAATTTGTATTTGTTCTCTGATTCATGTGTCGCTCTTCGTCTCCCAGTGTAATTCCAAGCATGAACTTCCTTTTTTTTGTTTTCCACATCACTCTCCATGGTATTTTTTTCAGTATGTCATTGCATGCAACATGCGCTAATTTAACATTTCTCTTTTACACGTGTTGGTATGCTGCTTCAAATTATCGAATACAATTTCTCCTCTTGTTAGTCAATTCATTCAACTAATTAATTGATGACCCATTCCACCATCAACACTTGCCCTTGGTAAACATATTCTGCTGTTTAGCAAACACATTATTTATGTTTTAATTACTATATTTTAACTATATATTTTATTTTAATTGTTTAGTGAACTATTTAATTGTGGTCATTTTTGTTTGTCCTGTTTTTTATTATTATTTATGAATTAGTTTCTTGTCTCGTTAGTTAAGGGGCTCTGTATACCTAATTGAAAAAACATGTCTAATTTCGGAGTGGCTGTTTTAGAGGTGTTGATTGTGCGCCATTTCAAGGCTACCACGCTATAGACAAAAGGCCGTATATGTAACTTTTATCACGATCAAGTGCCCTGAGCACTTCTTACAGAACTTCAATATATTATTCTGTTAAATAACGGTACTTGGCAAGTGATCTTCAAGTCCAAAATTAACGGAGCCCTTTGTGTTTTTCTCTTGTTACTAGAGCAGCTCACGTGTGACCGAACTTGCGGCGTTACCACACTCGCTTGGCATTCATAGCGTGGTTGGTTCTGTCAAGATGAGGACATTTCAGTCCAGCTCCGTCGGAGGCTAAAGAGCTTAAGTGTGTGATCCTGAGTTATGCCTCCTTCCTTATTGTGCCCCGTGCCTTTCCGTAATTGCCCTTTCCCACCCAAACCCTCTGATGGGATCCCTTAAATGGATTCTCCTTTGTCTCTCATCGGCTTCTAAACACATTTGAAGGCTCAATTACAGGGCCAGTGAAACAGGCGAAGTAAATGCATGCGTGGAATGATCAAATGCCCAGCTGCCCCCCACCCCCTCCCTGGCCACATCATTTTCTCAGCCCATGGGTCTTGGCAGACACGTGGGCCCAATGTGAGGGATCCTGGTACACACACTTGTAACTGCTGACCAGTGGGAACAGATGGATTTTATTATACGTGGCCTGGCAGGCACAGTGAGAAACCTCTTGAGCGCAACGCTGATATAAAGTTGGAGCGTTGAGGTTTCTGTGCCCTGAAGGTTGTGATAAGATGAACGGAATGCTATGCTTGATATAGCACTTAAAATATTGAAAATAAATTAGATCTTTTCAGACCTGGTATGAATGCGGAAAGGATATGCTCATCATAAAATACCATGCAGCATGATTTCATGCAAGTTGACTGCTTTCTCACTTTACCAATAATCATTCAAAAGCCCTGCATAGTCTGTGATCATGGATTAAGAAACATCTTTAACCTTTAAAAAAACACTGATAGTCTAGTTTTGTAAGAAGCAAGAGCGACATTTTACATTAACGACCGCTAACCCCGTATGTGCAGAGCCGCGTTGTAGAAAAACATCGAAGTGGAACTCGTGATCGTTAGGTCCAAGACCAGCCGGCGATTGCACTGGGCATTCGTGGTATTAATTTGCTGCAGAGTGAAGATAGTGAATAAGGTGGCACACTGCAGGCATAACATTCTACCAGAGACGGAAGATTGATGGGAGACTCGGTAGGATCGGTGCTCACGCTATTGCCTGTACTCCAAACCCTCCCATCCGCACCCTCTCCCGTGCCACCTCCCTTCTATGATGTGCTCCCCCCGCCACCTCCCATCTTTTTCATGTTTGCTGCTCCGGCGTGTGCGCGGGCCGCAGTGAGAATCGGAGCCCTCCAGGCCCTGTTCGCAACCGCCTGGCTGGAAATGACCGATGGGGGGCGGCACAATGGACGCATTATTCTCTGGGTTGGGTGTCATGGGAGGGGGGTTAAACGGAGACGCATTAGCCACGCTAGGGCCTAACGAGAAATGCTAATGAGCAGATGGGGATCACAGATCTGACGAGCATAACATGGACTTGTTGGAGCTGTCTCAAGGTCCAGTGGACTTTGTTGCGCGCCGCTCTCCTTTGTGCCGAGAGATAATGGATTCCGCGATGCCGCACGCTTGCACACTTCTTGCTCTCGCGTGGAATTTGTGCAGTACGCGCCCGACTGTTTTGTGTATTTTTATTCATTTATATAACTTTGTCCAATTTCTTTGTGAAATATATTCTATATATTCGCCTTTAACTGCTGTATTAGACTTCCATAAAACCTGTGCATAAATATCGGGAAAGAACTCCATTAATCAATAACACTGCTTTTTATATATATATATGAGAGAGGCGATGTTTTGGGCAATGAGGTTTTTTTTGTTCTTTGTGCTTGTGCACCACTGCAAATGTAGCATCGCCGAGTAATTTGCATGAATATAGAAGGTGCTTTTTTTTGGTAATGAAGGTTGTATTTAAGAATAAATTGCATTAAACCAATGTTTTTAAAGATTTTCATTAGTGTACGCTACTTGTGGTAATTTACTAAAGAGAAACACCGGCTGACAATTACCGTAGAACAAAATGTCAACGGTGTGCAAAGAGGCTCGGAGAGACGCATGCTGTGGATTACGGTGAGTGGAAAAAAAGAGAAACACGTGGATTGTTGAACAAATGCAAATTCAAGACCTCACGTTGACTGCTAAAAAGTAAAGTTTGCTTGGGTGCAGGACACATCGCTAGAAGGGGGATGATGGCCAGCGGTCGAGACTGGTATGGCACCCGAGAGAGTGTGCGCACGGCGGACATGGAGCGGTTCTATTCGCTTGCGTGCGGGGGATGAATGACGGGACATGATTGCGGTGGGTTCACAATTGGGATCTGCATTTATGCTGGAGAAATCCGATGAGCTATGACACTGATTTTTTCACAAATGTCCAATAGGGACGGGTTAGAAAGTTACAACAACAAACAGTACAAAAAAAACCGATAGGGGTGTCAAGTATAGGGAGAGGTCAGCAAATCACTTACCTCACACCAAGACAACAACACACAGTCCCTGGCTGACGATGACGGTGACAATTGATGAAAATGGCGGCACTGCATTTCCTCGCCGGCTCTTGCGAAGCACCTGCCCCATGGGCAGCCGTTAGCGCTGCGCTAGCCGGACGACGGACGAGCGCCGCGTGCGCAACTGCAGCAGCTCTCAGTATGGACGCTCTCACACCCCCCCCCCCCCCGTCGTGACCGCGCGCTTTGCCATCCATCAGGGCATGCTGCTGAAGCGCAGCGGGAAGTCGCTGAACAAGGAGTGGAAGAAGAAGTACGTGACCCTGTGTGACAACGGCATCCTCACGTACCACCCGAGCCTGCACGTGAGTGCCCCCCCCCCCCACCCCCCGTTCTCGCTCTCTCTGGCCGTGGGCGTTATGTGTTTTTGCTTTGGGCCTCATCGCACGGAAGGAAATTGGACTAGGTCCGGGGCGAACTAAATGGTCGCGTTAAATGTGATAGCAATCGTATTATCTCTCAAACTGGTCTATTTTCCTCATTGGAAAATAGGCCAACTGTGTTGGGTTTTACGTGGTGAGTTGTACAATTCAGAATGCTCCTGGCATAAGACGTATCGTCGCGGTGACCTCTCGCCTGCTCCTGCACGAAGGTCATTGATCGATTCATTGGGATCTGTAGCAGCGCAATGACCGTCACTCACTGCGCGGCAGCTTGGTGGTAAATAATCCTGAACGACTGCCGGAGAACGCAAGCGCTGTGGCCACGTTCGTGGCAACGGCGGATCCTCTCAGACGTTCCCACAGTCGTAGTGCTTGTTCCTTTTTCCAGCGGGGAACTCCATTTGACAAGGCCACCAAAACATGACTTATTTGGACCATCTTATTTGACAGACAACTATTACAGGTTATTGATAGACAGCCAGTTTGTTGTTTTACCAGTTTTAGTTCTTACTTGCTTTCTTTTTTCACACTTTTGTTATGTATGCTAGGTGCTAGTTACAAACCGCACCTCTCCATAATAAAGGCTCAGTCCTTTGTTATGCAGTCTATTCTTAGTCTTAAGCCTGACCTTACCATATTAATAAAAAAGTGTGCCGTTCCTGGCCCTTCCCCCCTCAACCATTATATATACGGGGTGGTATTTCTTGTGATCTCTCATTTACTTGATACAGCTGTCGTGGCTGTGACGGTTCCACCTGAAGAAGGAAGCTTGTGTTGCTTCCGAAACGTCGTGAAATTTTTTTTTATTAATTTACATTTTTTACCTACGTGACTTTACCGAAAAAACCTAAGAATATGAATCCTTGCAGTCACGAAAGCTTCAAATCTAGAATAAATTTTATTTCACCAGGTAAGGGCCACTGAGATATATAGCTCCTGTTTTTCGGAAGTAATCTGACGACAAACGATAGCTCAACGAAATGGCCTCTTATCACGTGGGAATGCATAGCAGCCAAATTACTCTAAGCGCACGTTGATTCAAAATGCGGAGGGAAAAACCGTAGGATCCAGAGAAAAATCCACGCGACCACAGGGAGAACATGCAAACTCCAAATATACAGGCATCAGAGTTCATGTCGAATTCACAACCTCCTTCATACCAGGCAAATACTTTTGTAGGGAGCACTCCGCAGTGAGCTTCTGGAAATGACACTTGTTGAAACAGCCACCCTTCCACAGAGCCGAGCTAAGCTGATGTTACTCCCACTATTATGTAGCATCTTGAGACACTGACCTCCCATTGCAGTTCGGGTCTTCCTTGTAATGTATCTCAATGGGCTATCATCTGATGATAAATACACATTTGATGATGATGAATTCAAAATATATTGCTTATAGTTGATCTGTGTGTCTAATTCATTTTGCAAATAAAATGAGAAGGTGAGAAGGAAAGCAATTGAAAGACCACATAAACAGTTTACAAAACCCATTGTAAATAGACCACCTGATAAGATGTTATTGCTGGCAACAGGAGAGGCAATCCTTCACATCCTCCCCATCACGTTTGTGGCCCTGCCCAGCTGCCCGCCCGAGCTGACCGGCGCTTAACCTGCGCACGCGTGGCCAATCGGGTGGCAGCGCAAACACCAGGAGAAGCGAGGGATTATCCCCGCCATGAGCTCCCCCACATAATGGGCATGGGCACAACGCTGCCTCCTAAAGCCCTTGTTGGGCTCGAGGATCAGGGAGATTTGGAGCCTTAATCCGGCAGTGATAACCTCCTTTCGGCCCACACCAAACCCACCCTGCTCCTCCTCCCAGCTTCCTGCCCCCAGCGTGGATCGTCGTTCCGCAGGGGAGCGGCGCATTCAGAGCATGGAGCGCACGTGGCGATTATTCTTGCGTGTGCTGTCGGGGATTGTGACCATCATCAGAATCACAATATTTATTTATCCAGGAGAAATACAAAGAGCTATGGACCTCTTTTTGCACATGTCCAGTGGGAGCAGGTCAGAAAGTTACAATAACAACAATAAATAAAAAACGATAGGAGTGCAAAGTGCAGGAAGGGTGAGAAAATCGCAAAAAATAAATACGTAAAATATTTTAAGTATTTAAGTTAAAAGTGAATAAGTACACCGATTCCCAAGCATAGGCAAGGCAGCAAGGGCGATGCGAAGCCGCTTTGTGACCCCAGCGATTTCCTGCTCGGAGCATTCGTTTGATGCCACAAACGCGTCGTCGCACTCGGCCGTGAAACTCCGAGAGCAGGCGTCGAACGTGGCAGCCGCAGTGTGAAGAGCCTCCGTGTATTGAAAATCAGCACGACGCCAACGGCTAATGGTGTAAACAAAGCGTCATTGAATTAGAATACTGATGATTTCTATACAAGTGATGCATTTTCAAATTAATGTCGCCTTTCAACTTGCGTGTTGGCCCTGAAATCCAGAGAAATTGTGGTATTTTGCAGAAGAAAAAAAATTTCACTTCAAATCTTTTGCGGAGTAATAATTTTTAAATCGCATTCGCTTTGTGCTTATTGTTGACGTTGCCCTTTAAGAAACCTTGGAATATATACAAATACACATTCATTACTAAGACTCTTCAACTACTAATCATGCAAAATAACTGAGGCAATGCATTCAAATCAATGGCACACGTATATCATAAGCATCGCCCAGATTTTCATTATTCATTTGAGGTTGCAAATAATCCAATCAGTGGAACACAATGGTTGTAAAGGCACTGATTTACGATTTGCATGGGATGGCTAACAAAGTGTAGAAGGGCAGTATGGGTGGGGGGGGGGGCGTGCAGAGGGGGGCTGGGGGAAGAGGCGGCGGGGGGAGGGGGAGGGACCCCGGATGTAGCCGACAGTCCCAGGTCGCGAGGGACACTGCAAGCCGTCCGCTGATCCTATTAGCGGGGGGACTCGCTCGATCCTGCACCGCTAAACGCCGCCTTTGATCCAGGGGCTTTGCTTGATGTGTACAGATGCGCACGTCATTGGGTAAATAAGGAAGTGGTTGAATGAGGCGGGAAGCTCCGTGTCCTGCGAGGGCGTTGCCGTGGGGGGCTTGACGGGGGATTAGACCCCGTCAAGGCACCCCACCCCTATGCCAGCCGCCCTGCGAGGTCGCGCCTGGGTCACGGAGGGAGACACTTGGGCACGCCTTGCTGATCACTGCGCCATTCATCTCGGAGGCGGTTTACAAAACGGCTCAAGATGTATATGCACGGGTTTCGCGCGTGTCCCTTGCGCTCCTACCGACGCAGTGGAGGCCGCATTAAGACGGTGGCGGCGTGGATCTCGCGGAATTAATTTGCGTGCGCTGCGGGGAGACTCCCAACCTGCAGGGTTGCCCAGTGGGCGTAGCCGGTGATGGAAGTGCAACGAGACTTGGTTGCTGACCCGTCCGTGCGGTTACTCCGATTTAATTGAACGTGCAAAATGCTCGCGAAGGAATTGGCAAAACTTTCCCAGTTGCAGAGCTGTCCTGCAAGGTAACCCTGTTGGCTCGTTAGTGCTCTCCTTGGTAAATGGAGGATTATCGCTTTGATTAATATCTCCCACAACACCTGCACGTGTGCTCAAACCCTCTGAGAATACATTAACACGAAGCATAAGTGCTCCCTTGTCCCTTTACATTTGAAGCCTTTGAACCCAGCTTCAAACAACCATACACCTTGTTAATTTTTTTATTTTTTGAGTAGTCAAAACTTGTTTGAGTCGTCAATGAAAATATTTTTTTAATAGATGTTTTATATACGTCATATCGACGTGCATATTCCATTTTTTTTCTTTTACATACATCGTCGTCTCAAAACATTTCTGCTGCCAATAAAATCCAGACCAGATTTTGCATCAGAACCCCCATTCCCATGCGCTCGTATCAAATCCCAAAGCGACCCTTGCTGCCTCCTCGGCCCCTGGAGAAAGTGATTAATCCAGGACAGGTGTGCGGAGAGAACGACACATTAAGCCGAACCTTTGAAGCTATGCTGTTAAAACCCGCTGACCACGAGAGGGTAAGGATAAGGGATGTAGGGCAATTACTCACCACCCCCTTGAGAACCCAAATATATGTATTTTATTGATGTATGTATGGTGAACTTCTTTCACACCATACATAACCAACCGTGTTAATGGGAGGTGGGGGGGGAAGGACAACAAACTAAACGTACAGTATATATATTTACCACGGAAAATACTTTCAATGTATTTTTGTTCCATTCATCTATGGTCCTTTTTTAAAGCTTCGAATTTCATAAATGCCCCCCCCCCCCCCCCGGGAAGTTTTCACATCCCACCTCTGGCTGAGGGACTGCCTTCCACCACTACATCAGTGCGATATGCTTGCGTTGTAGGGATACCCGTGACACTGCCCCGAACGGTTCTTGTTTGACTTCACGGCGCGTGCCATGCGAACTTTGGCTAACGTAGAAATTCGATTTCTTCAATAGAAAAGCGTGTATCATTTGTAATTTGTGCTCATCCTAAATTTCGTTAACTGAAAGTTGGAAAATCGAGGGGATACCTGTGATTAAGAAATACAAATAAGATGATAATTGTATTTTTTTACCCTTTTATCTGGCAACAAAACTGACACCTTTTTTTACGAGGAGTCATGACTTCTTGAGCAGTCGCCATTCTCTCAGGCAGAATGAAACAGGGCCATTGTTTGAAGAAGGCCAATTTGTCCGCATTGCTCATAATTTATTTCGATCCATTTGCCAATCCACGTCTGGTTGAAAGCCTCTCTACCCTGTGTCAGTCGTGGGGGTTGTTTAGTTATACTTCACCACACTAGCCATTGCCAGTTGGTGAAGTTGGTGGGGGGGGGGGGGGGGCAGGGCCATATCAGATATTACTCGCCACTGATGTTCGCCGTGGATGGGAATCGAACTCGCGTCGCCGGCTTCATCGTACAGTGCACTGACCACCGGCTGCAATGTTTTACTTTCGTAGTGTGAGGAGGAGGTGGTGTTAATCTGGTGACCGCGATAGGAAAGTGAAATTTCCACCATCGGTGGGCGATGAGCAACGGCTAATGAGCAACGGCTAATGCTCGCTTGAGCAAGGGGACGCTTTGGCAATCGATGATGGGAATACATTTTCAATCTGTGTGGTCCGTTCTTCACCCGTAATAATTTGCCGCTCATCGGCGGGGATGAAATTGACGCCGTGTTATTTTTTTTATGTACCTCAATTAGTTAAGAGCACTGCTAAGTGAAGTACATTACCCACCAATTGAACAAAAGGAATGTAAAATTAATTATATCAAAGGAATGAAACATAATGAGATGTGTTCCATTTTGTACTCCATCTCCCCTCCATCTGACACTGGTAATGCGTCACAGGTAATTAAACTGATTGTAAAGATGTGGGCGACTTCGTGCAGCCCGTACAAAGTGAGCATCTCCCTCGACTCTAAGTGAGGTGGGTGGGGGGAGATGGCCGCCTCCTTCCCTTACTGATTAATTCTTCGTGTGCGTTATGCGTGGTCGTAATGCCAAGATACAGACAGTAGCAGGGAAATTATACCTTTACCATGATTGAAAGTATGCGTGCCCGTGCCTGTGTGCGCGTGTGGGTGTGTGTGCCACGTGTGCATTAATGTTTCCATGCCCTGGCAATTGCTTGCATACATTTCTTGTGAGTATTTGGACCAGAGAGACACTGTTATAACTATTATAATTTTAGGTTCACATCAAAACAATCTTTCAACAGAAAATGTAATTGGACAGCCTGCATTATCCCTGATCACTTTCAGGTTAACACAATGAAAACAACATGCCGGTCTTGGCTCATTAATATCAATGATGGGCACAGATTAAGTGAACCTTGGGCCCGAAGCCAGGGCACTGCATTGGGCCCCCACCCACACGCCACAGGCTGGGGTTCCACGGGCCCAGCTCCCACTGGGCTTTTCCTACTATCAGCTGGTCGGGTCCCAGTCTTTAAAATGCCTAGGTCAGTGGTGGAGCAGTGATGAGTCGAGGAACCTATCCTATAGTGGACTTTAACAGGGTGACATTTATTTTTTATTCATCAGGTTAGGCCCACTGAGCTATATAGCTCTTTTTCAGAAGCGACCTGGGCACAGATGATAGCTCAACGAAGTGGCTTATCATGTGGACATTTATAGCAGCCAAATACTCTAAACGCGTGTTTCAAAATGTGGAGGGAAAAACCGGAGGATCCGCAGAAAAATCCACGTGACCACCACGGAGAGAACATGGAAACATGGGAAGTAGTTAACATTTCGCCATCCGGGTTTCACAGCATACATATGCACAGCTATGAGCTAATAATTGATCAATAACATCAGCCGGGTTACATCAAACACCAGCAGCAGTCGGCAACTCCTTATAATCATTAAGGGAGAGCATGGAGCTGCTGCTGCGTCCAGCACATGGAGGAGAACGTCAAACATGCCAAATAACATGGGGTGCAACCCGAAAACACGACACCACAGAGCTCGACTGAGCAACCGTGAAATCCTACAAAGTCGTGGAGGGGAGATTCGAAGCCCCACTATTAAATGTCCCCAGGGTAGCTAGGATCTGTGTCTTGGAATACCTGGCATGACAGGTAATTGTAGCCCGTGTTAACAGTGGGGGATTGATGGTGCTAATGGTGCGGTTCATGGTGATTACTGAGAAATATGGGTTTTGTGAATTATTCATTTATGTAATCGTGATGAAGAGCCGTTTGTTAGGCGGAGCTCATTGGCGAGGTACGCTATGTTTTCAACAAAATCGACGTGTCTCTCCACTTAAAAATGTGCTCCCCGATAATTGTTGTTCTTTTTAATAATAATTACACCTAAATAAATGTTTGCTTTAAAAAATGATCGTCCTTTGTCAAGAAAAGTCTCGATTTCCAAAGGGGTCGTATATATTTTACAATTCCTTGTGAATTATTAGTTCATGTCTTTATCCTATCAGAAGTAGTAGTACTCGCGAAGCCGTCAATGGAGCCAATTTAGAACCCTCCAGGCGTCGTGATCCATGACCCCGAACCAGGCCTTCTGGAAAGGCATGTTCCACATCAAGCACAAGACTCCATAAATAAAAACAAATTCTACATTGTGTACAGTCCGTAAAATATCCACCGTTGTTCTGGGCAGTGATGACTTTAACGCCGGTGTGATGGCATTCCGAACGCGCGTTTTGCAGGACTACATGCAGAACGTCCACGGTAAGGAGATCGATCTGCTGCGCACCACCGTGAAGGTGCCGGGCAAGCGGCCACCACGTGCCTCTGCTGGTCTCGGACCCAGTGCCAGCCCCAAGGCCAACGGCCTCGCCAAGGAGCTGAGCAGCACGCAGCTCGCGGCCACGGCGCCCGGCGCACGTGAGGCCCCTGCTCCCCCCCTCGCCCCTGTCTCCCTCCCCCGTACTGTGTCCTCCCGTGGCTCTCGCTCGCCGATGCTGTTCCCCCGCTCCCCCTGTGTTGCGAGCGCTCGTGCCGCATCGCTGGGGGGAGATCCTCGCCCCGATGGTTTTCGGGACACTCTCGCAAATCGGACTATCCTCGTCGATTGAGATCTCACCTGGCTTAACAAAATAAAATGCACTTGAAACTTTACGCTCATCCCTTGCAAAGTAAAAAACCGTCGTCCAAGCGCTTGGCTTGGGCGGCACCAACCTGCGTTACATCGTCATACCTGCTGATTGGTCGAGCAGCTGCAGGAGAAAAAGCAAGTAGGCAGCACAGTGGCGGAGCGTGGTTGGCATGGGCTGTGGTGCAAGGAATGAAATGGTAACATCCACTGTCCAATTTCCCTCCGGGGTCGGGGAGGGGCCCAGGCGCTGGTTTTCGGCGTCTGGGGCTGTCTGACGTATGGGACCTCAGTGCAGCTGAACCGCCTGCACACTCAATAGCTATGCCCTTGGCGCAACACCCACCACTTTGTTAAGTCACTTCTGGCTCTCATTGCAATAGGAACGCTTGTTACAAAATAATTTAATAATCAGTGTAGCAAGGAGAATTGTATCGTTTTCCGTTTCTTTGAGACGAGCCGCATATGCGTGTGCGCACGAGGCCACGTGTAACAGTTCCTCCACATGCCGAGCGTTGCCCTGGGATCGTGCGACGGCGCTGGGAAGCCTGCGTCGGGGACCGCGTGGTGGCAACTCGTGGCCGAGCGCGCAGAGTCGAAGCGCAGCCCACGCTTCCTAATGAGGGGGACGTATGCGTGGCGGTGGAACCGCCGCTTGATTGGTGGATCATAAGACTGAATGATGTCTGTGGGTTGAAGGTAGCTCAGCTTCGTTATTATTCTCTGGGAGGTAATTTGGAGATAATAACATACTAATTACAAACTACAGTAATTCATTTATTGGAGCAGCACTGCTAATTGAATGCGTTGGGCGCGGGCCATTAGGCTAGTGTGGGAGTTGTGCCGTCCCAGTGCGTGCATTGGGAATGTACAAGATGAGTCATTACCCCGAGCAGTAAAAACCGTGTTTGCCACTCTGCTGCGATGCAAAACTTTACAGCGGCTGATTTGCATCAGGCACTTTCCAATCTGTAAAAAAGCAATTATTTGGTCTTTAAGAACGTAAAAGTGGAATGGCTGCAATTCCAAGCCTAAAAATTACGTGTTTGACTGTAACTTTTGAAACATTGCGCTGTTTCTTCGTGAAATATTTTTTTTGGGGGGGATGGGGTTCATTTATCTCCGTCCTCTTTGCTTCGTTTTCGTTTTGTATCGCATTGTTGTCCAACACGATATCCAACGTTTCGCTCCACATGCTAGGACCACGTAACAGACCCGAGCTTTTGCTTCCAGTTCAGTTCACACGTCAAACAATACATAGTACGACCCCAAAATACATCAGAGAGCTCTACGGCATAGCTGTCAAAACCTACGTAGTCACGTAATAATGCGAGTAAAATGTATGTATGTTGAACTTCTTTTGCATCGTACCTAGCCAACCGTCCTAATCAGAGGTGCGGAAAATAAACGTGCCTGGTTGTTGTACTGGGCTGGATTTTTTTCGGTGACACGACATGCGCATTGCTTGTGCGTGAGACGGTCCGGTCCATTACATGGTGGTGGTGCGCATTTGTATTTTCGGGGAGAGGGACGTGGTTGCACAAGCTGCTTCGTGCGCAAGCAGTGCGGTTCCGAGTCCGCTCGCGCACCCTCTCGTAATTAGAGCCGCATGTTGGGAGCACGGATGTTGTGGGCGTTTGGCAAGGGGCTTTCGGAGGCACATGGCCAAATTTCACGGGTGGTCGGGCGCTTGAGATTTGGCTTAATTTGCATAAATTAAATCTGCAAAAATTTAAGCTGTTAACGTGGTGCCGGGCCTCCCTACTTAAAAGTGACGATATGAAAGAAAGGGGCAAAAAAGACACGACGCAAATTCGATGAGGTGGTTTACGCGTGTTACGAGTTATCTTCTTCTAAATATGTAAATGTAGAGTCGTGAATTATTTAACACGCGAGAGTCGTATTTCTCCAGAATTGCAGCCCCTTCACAAACGAGATTCGCACGAGCCCTGCACGCAATTTAGCCCAGAACAGCTTGTTTACGTGGAGCCCATTTAATTACAGAAGAATAAACAACGCTCGCCATACCCAATAGCAAAACAAACATAATATTTTTTAGAGCGTTCAAGTATTTTTACGTGCAGGGTTTTGTTTTATGTTTAGGCAATGTGCTTGAGCTGAGTTTGTAATCATAGGCATGGTCGTGGGCTCAAAGTCATCACAGGTGGTGCAGATAGAGCTATGTTGATCGCATGGTATTAAACGCCTTGTGGCACATTTGTCAAAAACAACACGTGAATGGCCCCCTGGGTGGAAAGCACTGGATTATCACGTGTTCCAGACACCCAGCCTGCACAGTGTCTAGTCGATGGCAGTACAGCAAGTAGGCTGCCGACTCATCTGCGTTGTCCCCTTCATTTGCACGGGTTCTATTTCTCTCTTCTGGTTCCCTCGCGAGTGTCAAAGCAACTCTTGCTTAAGAACTGAACAAACATCCCAAGTAAGGCGATGCTGCAAAGACTCATTTGAGGTTCTCCTGCATGAACGCTTCAAATTACAGCATCTCCCTGCCAAAGAAAAGAGCGTGGAAATTCCACACGCAAACGGTTGGACAGATTGACGATAAATCAGCCGCTGTTTATCGCTGTCGTTGTTATTGTGTATTTGCTGTTGTAGTTGCCCTAAAATGGTTTTCCTATCCGCTGCCCTCCTGCCCCCTCCCCGCAGCAGCGGGGGGCGGCGTCCACGCCGAGCGCTCCATCAGTGGCATCAACCTGGTGTCGTACAACATGCGCCCCGAGGGCCTGCACCAGCGCTCCTTCTCCGTGTCGAGTGCTGAGCAGTGGAACGAGGCCCCCGCCGGTGCCGTCTCTGCCAACGGTACGTGCGCCGAGAGATTACTGCCGCTTACTTAGTTTGGGAACGCGAGCTGGGACCTGCGTTGCCGGCGGGAGCCTTTTACTCTCGCCGGGAAACCGAATGCATCCTCGAGTTTATCTCTGCTGCAGAACGAGCCAGGGCTAGAGGCCTGGCCTCTTGACAGCCTGTGCTTGGACGTTGCTGGGTTTTTTTGCAGACGTATGTGTGCACGTTGCACTTCTTTCGCACCGTACATAGCTAACTGTGCTAATCAGAGGTGCAGGAAATATCCAAACCTCCGTTGGTCCAATCTAAAAATCATAACAATGACAAACATTCCAGATTTTAAGCTTTCGTGACTGCAAGGATTCATACTCTTAGGTTTTTTGGAAAAGTCACGTAGGTAAAAAGAAATAATAAAAATAATACATTATTTTAGTTTTATAATTTTTATTATTTATTTTTACCTACGTGACTTTAATGACAACCATTGCTGAGAATCTTCCAAGTGTAGTACTTGCCTTAAATATTGAATTCGACGTTGGCAGAACAGTCTCTCATGCCGGGCGTGCGATTTGTTCGACGTAACAGTGGTAAAGCCACACTGCGCATTGAGTGTCAGAAAGTAGGTGACAGGACTGGAGCCCTCTGCTAGACGAAGGAATGCTCTTTTGCGTGCGTGCGTGCATGCGCGTGTGGCCCTGGGCAAGGTCATTCTCCACTTGACTTCCTCGCCGCGTGTCCGGCTGGCCCCCCATGCACGGGTTGCCCCCGGGGCAGCTTTCATGTGCGGGATGTTTTGAATGGGCGCGAGCTCATCGCTGCTGGCCCCCCGCGTCGCCCCGTGCCTCGGCGTACGGAAACGGGAAGGAACTGCGCGTGTTGAGCCGTGTGGCCAGAGTGCCGCGGATCGCGCGCGTTTGTGTGACGGCCGCGGCCCTTTGCGGCTACGGGTGCTGCTGCTGCTGCAGGTGTCGGGATGCGGGGTTTCCTCCGCCCGCCCGTCTGCGCGCTCGACACGCGGCTCGTCACCTTGTGTCTTCGAGTGATGTTGAAATGTGAACCGTGTGTGTGTGTGTGAATCCTGCTCAAAGGTAATTCTGACATTTCACCTTTGGTCAAAAACAAAGTGAGCAAACATTGATGGATAAAATATCAAGATAAACAGTTCGTAATGGCCATTGCCAGTGATGACATCATACATCACCACCACTTCTTCCACCAAATCCTGTAATTATTGCATAGTAGATATGCAATCTCCATGGTCTGCTCTTACAGCATCCCCACCATTCTGCCTTTAGCTCTTCCCTTTGGTCTTTGAGCAATGCACATGTGCCCCAACCTTCACAACCTCCTCTTCCCGATTCACCGGGAATAGCGTGTGGATGTTGTGGTTGTGGCAATTACCGGGACGCTCGCCCCACGTTGTCTAGGTTTTCGAAGGAGGCGTCTGCAGAGCCTGGACCTGATTCTCCAAGTTGGGCTGTCCTAGCATGGCTCATCGTGTTAAGACGTCCACCCTCCAATGAGGCGCTAATTGACGAGAACCCGATGCTTCTCGCTGCTTTGGATCAGCAGTAGCACCCAGCTGCCAATTTCAACGGCCGCGTAATTTAAGGTGGAGGTGATGAGACCGCCCTGTTATGTGGCAGAACGGAGTGAAAACGCTTTATTCTGTTTTACTGCGCCCGGATAGCTGCACTGGCAGTGATTGGAAGTGACGTTCATCTTGATTGAAGTATGAGAGCCCAGGGGGGTTGTTGTGGGGACACTTGCGTAATAAAGGAAAATATTTTTTCGAAAAACGCATTTTTCGATAAGCATAGCTTTTAAAAATGCATGCGATATTGTGTTACATTGAATTACCCAAAAGAGAAGGACAGAGATGAGAAAAGTTATTGCGATTGACTATAATTATACCTTTTTTGATATGATTCATATTTACGTGATAATGAAATTGCATAACCTTTACATCTTTTTCACTAATTAAATATCAGTTGTGCGGAGCCCATGATTCAGTGTGTTCCGATAAGAGCTCTAGGAGTAATTAATATCAACTGTGGGCTGAATTGATTATTGCAGCAGTAATTAATGGTGGTCGGTGCTAAATCCAGGGCAGCAGCAATTAGTGGGTATTGATTTAATTAAAGCATTCCGGTTTACCAAGCGCCCATCAGTGCGTGGGTGGATCCGAGCCTTTTTGAGGCTGCATAAATTGCTTGTTATTACGGCCTGGCCTTGTCACTGCAGCTCACTGGTTATTGAAGGCTGATAATTGAGCTTTGTTGGAGACAAACAATTGGCTCCTGAAGAAATTTATGATAGCGTATTCCTCCAAACCGTTGAATCTTCTTTCAACTAAAATTGTTTGCGTGAACGTTTGTTAAACGCCGAGCGATAAAGTAAGGAGATGGATTTGCTGCGGAAGGCATTTGCCGAGACGAGCGGCGATTGTGTCCATCTCGCGTGTCTCGTTGCGCCGTGGACTCCGAGGCTCTGGTCCTGTTTCGCTTTGTGCGTTTTCTTTCACGGCATCACTTGTGCCAGCTGCTTGCTCGTGAGCGAAAGTCAAGGCTAAATAGCAGAGCTTTGCTTTCATTCTCTTGACGGCACTGGTCCGTTTCATGAAGCACATCCAATGCATAATTCCCTCCCAAAACAAACAAACCAATTCTCGTTCATTAAAATCCCCACTTTTGAAATTCAAACACTTTGTTCCAACTCTTTTGTGGACATCAGTAGGTCATGCATTTTTAGAACGCTTGATGGCATTTTGCGATTACGGAGCATGAAAGGCTTGACACGAGAATTGTTTCCATGCCCCATCGGCCGTAATTACAAGGCAAGGTGGGGTGGCGGGAGGAGAGGTGGGCGGGTGCCGATAAAAAGGAGCTTGAGTTACACAGCGATTCTTGACACAGCCCAACATCATTGCGGGCGCCCTGTGGTTAGCGGCAACAATGAGGCAAGGAAACCAAGAAGGCCCGTTATGCGCGATTGTCACGCGCGGGATCCTCCCAGCGACGGATCGGTGACATTTGTCTCATCACCAGCATGTGACGGCTGTGAACAGGCGCATGCCCCCCCCCCACACCTGCCTAGCGCACAACGTGCAGATCTGAGCCGCGCTCGGACTAAAATAGCGGCGCTCTTTGGACTCCCGCAAAGCAAGATCGATGATCGCCTCTCCCTCTCTATTCCCTAACGAGCAGGTGTACGCCCTCGGCGAGCCACACACGCCAAAGGCGGTTAAGCAGGAGGAGTGTTTCTGGAATTTGAAAAACCGTACCCAATTAAACGAGTTAAAATATTTTGGATTCGCTCACTTTTGCCGGGAGCTGGAGACGTCGTGTTATTGTAATATCGTCTGGGCTGTCTCTTGGCAAAAGCCGCTGTTGCGTCTGAGCAGTGCCGTGTTGGTGCAATGTTTAGAAGATGCACGTGGCCGTAGAGATGGCATGTCACTTCATTTGAGCTGAAATCGATTTTGCTCTGACTTGGACATTGCCATTGGGAAACTGATCATTTAATCTTCTCTTTGTGTTTTACATCACATTGAAACATGCTGTGTGGTACGACTTCTCTGGTTTTTATTTTTCTCATTTGAATAAAAGCTTTTGTTAGTGATTGTCGTCTAAATCTCTGGCTTTTTTTGGATAACGCCCCCCTCTCCTTCCCTCTCTCGTCTGCTCTCTTCCCCCCCCACCACCCGCCACACCTCCCTACGCACACCGCGTTCCACAGCTAATGGGGTGAGCGATGCGCCCTGCTCCAGCCCCAGCATATCGAGCACCACCAGCCCCAAGCTGGAGCCGCCCGCGTCCCCGCACAGCAACCGCAAGAAGCACCGGAGGAAAAAAAGCACGGCGAACCCGCGCGCCGACGGCCCGGCCAACAGCGCCGAAGGTAGGAGGTGCACGTGGCGCGCGCGTCTCCGACCAATGGGACCAGTTGGCATCTCCCTGCTCAGGCAGGCGCTCGGAGGCGGGCCAATCTCCATTGATGATCCTGAACCAGAGTTGGGAATGCCATGTTCCTGTGGTGGGGACCGGGTCGCGCTGTAAAATAACCACCGTTGACTGTCTACAAAGTGGTGCCCGCATTTTTGTAACCCTGGAATGATGGCGAATGATGGTGGTGGTGGTGATGGGCTTATGGAACCCCCGTTCCAAATGAGATTGGTACGATAGGCCCACTGGTCAATTATTATACCCCTCCGCCATCATCATTGACACTGCCTTAATACCCGTACGTATAGAGAGCTACATACATACCTGCAGGTAGATTTGGCAATGCCACTTGTTCACAATAAAATGACAGAGAGAGAGAGGAAAGGCAGAACGCTGTGACTGGAGGTTGGAGACAGATCGCGCTGGGAGGATTTGAGAGCGATCGGTGCGTGAACAATTTCCCATGAGCAGGCGTTACGCAACATCGTTGTCCATCCGAAGGTGCGCGAGAGCGATGAGCGGTGCTCCAAGTCGCTTGTGATTCGCTAAAAAGCACGAAGGGCAACGCGATTGTTTTGATCCTCCTTTTTGCCAGACAGTTCGAGGCTCTGGCATGTCCTGATTCCCCAAGCCACGCTGCACTTGGTGTCTCGTTGATTCATGGACACGTTTCCGCCTCCCTGACGAACACATGAACGATGACGTGTGCGTAACACGTATGCACGCGTGGACTGGTTGAATTCTAGGTGTGGGTGAAAAACCAACATCGATCATCATTCCTACAGCTTAACACTCATCAACTTCCACTTTCTGGCAAATAACGAACGGACCACTCGGAGTAACCGATGGAGAGGGGCAGCGGATAACGCCGCGTCCTCGCAGTTGGCAATTTATGCGTTGGCAATCTTGCGCATTGGAGGCATGCGAGCGCACGAGACGTTCATGCGGTGCAGGAGGTGAGGGTTTGTTGTTTGCCGAGCATCATTAGAGCTCTCCCAAGAAACTGGACCCAGGGAAAATAAAGTGTCCTGTTTGCCGTGGGCGACGGTGTGGATCCTGCTGATGGAGCCGCTATCTGCGCCCTGTTTACCCAGGGAAGAGCCTCCCTGACAGCATTGCCCCTTTATTCTTGCTTTTGCAAACTCGCAAGTTAATGTTTGTTTGTTTTAATTAGCCTAAAGGTTAAACAATTGATAAGTTTAATCTCAATAAGGGCTCTCTCCGGAGAGACAGCCGGCTACACTACCGGGAGCGGAGGCCTCTCCAGCTCCTGCCACCAGCCACCACCACCGCGTGTTCACGCACCAACTCGTTCACAGTCCCAAGCGCCGCGCCACGCTGCAAGCCACCATTTGCATGTGCGGCGGTGGCAGCACCGGTGCCGATCTCCCGGCTTCCCAGAAGGGTAATCAGCGGCCAGCATCTGCTGCGTGGTGATGCATGTCGGTGTCCCATTGCACGCTCCCTCCTTCCCCGCGCCCACTGCCGCAGCAGCCACCGCTCATTGTTCATCTCCAGTAATCCCGGCCGCGCGTCGCTCGTCAACTGAACCCAGCGCCTCTCCCGTCAGCTGCTTGCGCTCCGCCAATGGAGGCCCACCGCACTCTCCTGAATTCTCCGAAATCGACGAGCGGCTGGGAAGCCCGCGAGCAGTGCGACGGCGTGACACGCGGCCCCGTGAAGCAGGGCTGGGCCACTGCTGTGGGTGTCTTCTTCGATACCCACAGTGCCAGAGTTGGAGACACCCACAGGGTATCGCAATACCAGCATCGTAATTTTGGAAGTGCAGTTGATATGACCGTGACGTCAGCAGCTCAGCATTGCTTTTTCTGGGATGATGTCCTGGATTGCCTGTCACGAGGTATTTCTCAATACATTTGAATTTGCCTATACAGTATGTGGGCACGGACTTGGTATTTGGCACTGGCGATGAGTTGTTACTTCGTAATCAATTCCTATGAATGGTTCCAAAGTTTCAATGTCAATAAGTATGATGGCTGTGTTGTGATTGCCTGCCAGAATAGCTGGTGTTGATGACTAGAGGTGCAGCGCCCTGCTAGCAACTAATCCAACGTTTTCGTGAGAAATCAACCGCGCCGGTGCTTTGCATTGGGTGGGAAACACGTTCCTCTTCTGTGCCGAATTTACAAGAATGTAAAGAGAAAATACGATTTTATGAATGTAAATGCACGCCTCTCCTTCCCAGGGATGGTATCACGTTTTACAAATAGTCATAGCAGAGGGGGGGCGGCTAGGCTGCGCCACGCAGCAGGGCACAGAGCGGCAATGTTCCGGCCGCCACTGCTGCACAAGGCTCACTTTTGTTCTGCCGTCACGATTCCGCTGTTTTCTCGTTTTCGCTGCCGCCTTGTGTTTGGAGAAGAAACAGAATGGGGGAAGCGGTGGCCTGGTGTGGTCGGACCGTGCAATTTGGTTGTTGATGTAGCTTATTAATTCGGGAGGTTGGGGAGGTTGAGGGAAGGGAGCGGCAGCACGAGCGAGTGGCCAATCCGAGCCGGTGTCCCCGTCGCACGCTGCGGCTGCGCGCGTGTGGAGGGAAAGTGGCCCCGGCGCGCGTTGGTGTTCTCGTGCGCTCGGACCGCCGGGCCAGGATGTGTGTGCGAGCAGCGGGGCAGGCCCGGGTGTGTTGACGCAGAGGCGGGGGGACTCGGCACCGCGCTTTTCATCTCGTGGGAAGGAAGCGAGGAAGGAAACGGCGTGTGCGGCGAGCGCGCGGGGGGGGGGGGGGGGGGATTCACGCGGGGGACCCCCGATCTCTCGCCGCCGGACCCCCGGATAAACCTGACCCGGATCCCTCGGCTCCGTGCGGCAGAAAAACAAATTTAGTGCCTGCATTGCAGTTTATGTCGTTATTGTTATTTGTGAAGGGACAGATAGGAGGTGTTTACAGAATTTAGAGTATAATACATTATAAAAAATTACAATATAATAAAATGGTTTCAAGTGAAAGCAACTTTATTAAACAAAGTCAAGGAAAAAAAGACCACATTGGTTCAGAGGCGTTATGAGAATGAATGTGATTGCGTACTTCGCCATTTGATGCAAAAGTGGAAGGGAACCAGGCAGGAGCAGATGAAGGCAAAAAAGCAGGCGGATAGGTGCAGTGGTTAAATACCTCGAGGATAAAGCTTTGGGATTACATGAAGCAGTGCTACCGGTTAAAGAAAGAGAACGATTGCGGAAATCTGTTCGGCCCCATCCTCGCGAACGAGCTGACGGAGGGACAGATGATGACAGATGATGACACATTGGCGAGCAATTTGCTGTGGTGAGACTGCTCCCCCACTGGAATCTCCACGACCAGCTCAGGACCTCAAATGGAAACGAGCAAAAGCCAATGCTGCAAACAGCATGGGGACAATTTCACCGAACGTTACATGTATTGTTTTTTGCGTGTATATAATGATTGTGTTGTTCTCCCATCAGTGGTTTCATAGCAACGATCATGATGATAGTCGTGGCTTTGGAAAAACCTTGGCATCACACCGCTTCTGCGTTTAGATTATTTGGCTGCTAGAAATGTTCACATGATCAGCCACTTCGTTGAACTATCATTTGGGGCCAGGTCACTTCTGAAAAAGAAGATTGTAGCTCAGTGGGCTTTATCTGGTAAAAGACAAAAATAGTTTGGTTTAAATATATTTACTTTTAGTGATTTGCTTCCCTTTCCTATACTTTGCAGTCCTATCGTTATTTTGTATTGATCTTTTACTTTCTGACCTGCCGCTATTGGACATCTGTAAAAAAATTGCTTCATAGCTCATCGGATTTCTCCAGGATAAATACAAATTTGGATCCCGTGGATCCTGCACCTCTGTGCCCCCCCCCCCATTCCCCCTTTCCCCACATCCTGCTTCGCTCGGCAGATAACGACGAGCCGTTTGAGTTCCTCATCGTGTCACTCACGGGCCAAAGTTGGCACTTCGAGGCCTCATGTGCTGAGGAGCGCGAGTCCTGGGTGCAAGCCGTGGAGAGCCAGATCTTTGCCAGCCTGCAGTCCTGCCACAGCTCCAAGAACAAGGTGAACCAACCCCAACCCGCGTGATGCCCCAAAACGTGCATCCGTTGGCCTGCTCGGGGTCACCTCTTTTGTTCGTTTCAGGGAATACGTCGTGATATGATTGTATTTACCCAGGAGTCTCAAGATGCGTTTTCAAAAGCATCCTGCTTTGAATATTAGGCCAAGCCCTTTCAGTGTGGGAGTAATCGAGAGTGGCTGAAGTAAACGCACACACCAGGAGTAACACTAAAATATCTGCATGTCGGTGAATCCATACTCGTGAGTTCTCAAAACTCCCTTGCACACATTTGTCCAAACCACTCGTGGAGCAGCACAGGTGTGGATGTACACATTGTGTCAGTGCACTGTTTATAATAGCTATCATGAAGTGTGTATTATATTATCGGAATTAGGCATTTAATTTTTGTGTGCACGGTTCCTTATTGATGCAGCAACGTGAGCAGCAGGAACATGAGGCTTCTGAAGAAATTTTGCCAAGCAAATAAATATTTACGCAGCACTGCCGGCGTCACGAGTCCGCATCTAGCGTGTCAAGCCTGCGTTTGCCACTGGAGTACAAGGAGACCTGTCTTAAGTGAACCCTCATAACTGTGCGAGGATCGTTAAGGGAGTGTTTTTTTGCGTTGTCCGCACTCTGTAGACACGGACGGGCAGCCACAGCGACGCCGTCACCATCCAGTCCATCAGGAACATCCGAGGGAATGCCTTCTGTGTCGACTGCGATGCTCCCGGTGAGTTCATTGTGCAGTTTTTGGCCTTTTAGCCGGTTGATCTCTTGTACAACGGGGTGTTGTATGCATGCGTGTTGAATTTATTTCGCACTATACGTAGCCAACCATGCTAACACCCTGGACCCGATTCGTTTTTATTCCATCAGCAGTTGGTGGAAAATTGGGCACTTTTTGCAGAAAAGCCATTTACAACAATACGTGAATTAAGCCCCGTGTCTCTCTTGCAAAGGGGATCTGGATAGATTTCCAAGGAAATTATAATCACTTACTTTTATATGCTTTGGACCATATATTTCACTGCAATTAATGCCATTGTTTGAGAAACTGACGGTGACTGTGGCACATTGTAATCTCCTCTTGGGAACGCCATGGCAGGGTCGTCGGCTTCCAACGATACAGCAGGTGATGATCCAAGGTGACCCCATACATGTTGACCCAGCGAAGGGTGCGCGGACCCCTAGGCTCGGCCACGCTTCCGTTGACACCGCCGCCCTGACGTAAACAGCCGGCGGAATGGCTCTCCTCATCCCGTGATCACCGTTCCTCCCCCCCCCCGTCTGATCCTCGCATCAATCTGTCCGTACGCAGGCCCAGACTGGGCGAGCCTGAACCTGGGCGCCCTCATGTGCATCGAGTGCTCAGGGATCCACCGCAACCTGGGCACGCACCTGTCGCGCGTGCGCTCGCTCGACCTGGACGACTGGCCGCTGGAGCTCGCCGCCGTCATGCTGGCCATCGGCAACGCCACGGCCAATGGCGTGTGGGAGGCCGACACGCAGGGCCTCGGCAAGCCGCAGCCAGACTCGCCCAGGTGAGCGGGCAGGACACGCGAATCTCCCTGGGAGGATGCGCAATTATTGTGCGTGTAATTATATGCCAGTTTAGCTTTCGATATTGTTGTCACAACCTGTCGGCCGGTTCGCCTTGCGTAAGGAAATGTCCACTTGCTTCTGGAGGTGGAAGGTTAAGCCGTGTGCGCACGAGGAGATTGTGAGGAGAGACAGAAGAGCAGCAACGGGGTCCTGTGCTGCCCAAAGATCAAACTCTTGCTGCTTGATGCTCGCCATCACCCAAAGCTCTGAGACACCTACAGAAGTATTGGGCGATGACAGCGATATTTTTGAGCTTCCCATTGGGTAGAGATGCAGGGTGTCGAGCCCAGGTATGACATCATCCCTGTTGTTGATTGGGCTGCTGATTGGTTTACTGTAGGGTCTACACCTTTGTTGTCATTTTGCCATCCTGTGAAAATTGTCTCTTGAGTGCCAGGGCTTTAGATCTAAGCACTCTGAGCGAAGTGAATCAATTGAGAGATCCTATTACAGAAAATAATTACGGCATATACTGCCCATGAAATCAAAAGAAAGAATTGAGAATTACTGTTGTCATTTGTTGCTAACTAGTAGGCTGAATATGCAGCTTTCAGACGATTCTAAAATTCCCTGCCCATAATTGCTGTAGATAATCGAGGTTGGGCTGCGTTCAGTGTTTCATCCTGACAACAAACGCCTCCAGTGGGAGAGCCTTCTTAATGCGCTTTGTCCAATTAATTTTGTTTCCAGTCGCTCTACACAGCCTACTCGCTCGCACCGTGCTCATGTTAAGTGGGGGCCCTGTTTGAATTTAGTTTGGTGGCGAAATAGATATGTTGCGTTTATTACTGGCCACAGTAATGGATACGTGATTGCGGTACTTGCGTAATTTAATGGCCCACAAGATGTTTTTTTCCTTGGCCTATAAAAGCTGCCGGTGGCCTGACATTGATTGAATGGCCCCCAGGGCATCTCCATCAGGCTAATGAGAGACACTCCGACATCTGATTATTACGGCTCTGAGTCGTGTGCCGGTAATGATCCCATCGCTTCCTTCTCCACGATCCTCCTCTCACTCAATCCGCACGCCCCCTGTCTGCTTAACCTCTTATTATAAATTATGGTGTGGTTGGCTTCGTACTGTGCAAAAGAAGTTCAACATACATACATATGTAATATAATTTTGTCGAAAGTTTCACAATATTTTGCAGCTGAATTAGATCGCCGAGTTTAGGAAGCATCTGATTTTGCGTAACGGCGCACTTTTGCCCCAATTGTTCATCCCTTGCCAGTCAGTGTCTGAGCTGAAATTGTTCATTCCCTTTTTGCACCGTGATATTTTTGATGTCTTCCTTTTTTTACATCATCACACGTATTTTCCAGTGGCACACATCTGTGGACATGTCTGCGGGTTGTGCGCTGATGAATTACTCCGCTCTCTTGTATCGCAACTAATTCCACGTTATTCATTGCCACGACGCACGCCCGTCACGAATTGTTTTTCTCAGCGCCTGTTTTGCTGTTTCGTTTCCAAAGGCGCAGGTTAGACTGGAATAATCATGCCGATTTAGCATTAACGATTTCAAGAAAAAGAATTGGCGAGCACACATCACTACATTCAATTAAATTGGAGACGGGTAAAAGTAATTGAATGCAAGCGGATGATCACACCCCGCAGCCCCGTTTGCGAGCCGGGCATGGGCGGAGAGACGAGCGGACGGCACGCGTGGGAATGCACAGAGCAGGGAAATGCTGCCGAGGGTGACTGTGCTCTCCCAGCCAAAGCGAGATTGCCTCACATGTAATTTACATAACATGCGTCTAATTTGCTTTATTGCTGCAATTACACTAAGCCGCTGCCCGTAATAATCACCCGCGAGCGCCGCGCAAGCCCCTTTTGCCTAATAGGCACGGGGACAACGCTACTTCTGAGAGCATGAGCTTCAGCCGCCAATGCTGTTTCGCCGTGTGTTCTCGCGGCCTTCACTGTCACACTGTCACTGGGTGACCGGTTGTGTGCTCCACACTCCCCCCCTTTCCCCCCTTTCCCCCCCCTCCCCGCTCTCTTACTGACAAGAGGCTGTATCGAAATGCACTGCAGCAACGATCTTTTGTTGATAACGGTTCCAAAATGCACCCAGGATCAGCACCGGATTAACTCTGGTGGCACTTTCGGCACATGCCACAGGTCACAGGTTCACTCTGTTCCTCTCGGCCGTCAGTAGCTCCCCTGATTCTCTAGCACGTTGGGCAAGCTCTACCCAGAGGAGCACAGGGCATGTTTTCAGTCGGGAGGCCCGCATTGCTTGCATGGAAAATGGATATGTGGAAGTCACTGTAGAGGAAACTGACTCTCAGAGCCCATACGGGCCCCTTGAAGGCCGGTAGCCAGAGGCATCCAACAGCTCTGCATTGGGCACCAGTGGTTTGCGCATCACATTGTGGAATTATAATAAGAGGTAAATTTGGAAATGAACTGTGCGCAATCTGTTCATGCCATGGTTGGCAGATGCTGCCTTTCCCTCTCATATAAGGTACAGGATTTCCCTGACAGGTCCCGCCAAAGGGCATGCAGCTTATGGATGTTGTGATACTATGCGTGGCTTCTTGCATTGACTGTAAACCAAACGGTCACGCTCGTTTCATTTTGCAATTTGACAAAGAGGGATCTCTCATTTTCCTTGCAGAGATCAGAAGCAATCGCACATGAATAGTCGCGGTAATCAATCGCCTTGAGATTTACTGCGATGATTGGACTTCTTGTTCGCTGCCAAAGCAAAATGTCTGTTCGTTCCAATTCGTGGGATTTGTACGCGAATGGCAATGGAGGAAGCCTCTCCCTGTCGTCTTGCGTGGGTTTAACGCACGTGCATGCGTGCGCGTCTCTCCGGTGTCCGAACACCCCCGCAGCTGCTGGCGCTGCCGGATGCTGCTGCGCGGGAGCATGAACGCGCGCATGTTTATGCTTGTGTTTGCGCGTGTGTGCATGTCTCGCCTCAATGCTAATCTCTGCTCACCGAGTTCATTTCCTGAGACCATTGTCTCACTCGCCCTTTGTGATGGGGACTCTGCCGCAATTACAGCTGCTGCCCCTCAAGGCCCCCTCCGTCTCCTCTTCCTCCACCGCGGCTCCCGGGAGCACAGTCTCACCCCCTTCCCCAACTCGCCGACCCCACAGACTCTGCCTCCCGAACAGAAGTTTGCGATCGAATTGTGGAGGCCATTCGAATTTTTTTTGCAGCTGAAGGATCGGGATGGGGTGTGGAGAGCGCGCTGCATAGTGTGGTTTGTTGCAGGCTTAGAAGTCTCCTCCGCGATCGGTGTGGATTCTGCGCGGCGCTGTCACACACGTTCATGTGTCGTGCATGGGAGCGAGAGACAAATGGCATGGAGGTGATTGCTCGAGTGACATTGGCATTTTAGAATGATTATTATTATGCCCCAGCGTTTTGGCGGTGCACGCCTCTTATCCAGTGACTTAAAGCCAGGATTGATGGCTCACACGAAGGCTGTAGATGATGTGAGGCACCTACCAGACCACTGGCCAATGTCTCATTGTAGAGTAATGAGAAAGTATGGCAAGTAGGCTTTTGACCTATTCGTTTCATATACAAGTGTTTTTTTTTATGACACTGTGGTTTGCTCCCATGCATAAAAAATACTCGACAGATGAATTGGTAAAAAATATAAACCAGAAGTCCTCATTAAAAGCGTCTTGAGGCTCACTGAGGCTTTGCTTGGTAAACAAACTCTACATTAAAATGTGAACCACTACACGTGGCACTGTTCGAAATGCATCACCTGAGTACATTTACACGGTCATCAGTTGTAAGGCCCCTCATCCCCGATTCGGTGCCTGGCATTATCGTGACTTCACGGCGCCTTTGTTAATCCACTCCTGGGTGAAGGCCTCCCCATGTTGTGCTGGTCATGTGGATTGTTTGACCATACTTCACCATGCTGGTCAGTGCGGGTTGGTGAAGGGGAGACTCCATCGGAACTGATTCAGATGTCTATGGCTATGGCAATTTAATTCAAGTTGCCGAATTCATATGGCAGCGAGTCAACTAAACTATTTATAACTATTTAAACTATTTTTTTTTGACCAGGTAAGGCCCAATGAGCTATTTAGCTTGTCTTAGAAGCGACCTGGCCACAAATTATAGCTCTATGAAGTGGCTTTTGTGGAAATGTACAGCAGCCAAATACTCTAAAAGCAAGTTTATAAATGTGGAGGGAAGAACTGGAGGATCCGGAGAAAAATACATTCGACCACGGGGAGCACATGCAAACTCCAATTATGCAGGCGTCAAGGTTGGGATCGAACCCTTGACCTCTGTATCCCGGGCGAGGTAGTTAACATCTCGCCACCGTGGTGCTCCTAACCACCGCACCACCACTCCACCCCCACATGTGACTTATCGTTAGTAACATCACATTACATGGGCAGCTTCAACTCATTCCGCATATTTTGTTTGTGGAGCACGAAGTTAATAAGCCAGTCTGCTCGTAACACGGCAAGCCGGCAGGGTTGTGTAGTGGTAAGACTGGTGCCCCACAGAAATAATCACCTGGGTTCGATTCCTGACTCGGGTGCCTTTCAGTGTGGCGTTTGTGCAGTCTACCCCTGTTCAGCATGGATCTCCCCTAGCTTCTCCAGGTCCGTCCCCTTTCAGCAAAAAAACATACAATGAATGTACAAACAAGTCGGCATTGACCATACATCCCGAATGCAGTACCGTCCCGAAATATACTTAATATTCAGTGTGGCCGTTCCTGGGTGAATAAGTAATGATCATTCTCATGATATTATTACTTCCCACCACTGGATCATGCGGACGTCGTCCATGCTGGCACACGTAGGGCCTTGCGCCGGGGCAGCAGGAGAGCGTCTGGCCGCGCGGTGTTGCACGCCGCTGGCCTCTTAGCAACGGCTGGCGAGAGGGAAGGCATGCGCTGCCGCTGCTGCTGCGGCTGCGGCAGCCGGCAGCCGGCTCGCTTGGCCAGCGCCGGGCCGGCCCGGAGGGGGACCTCGTCCCCTCCTTTCTCTCGCTCCCCCGCGGAGAGGAAATTTGGACTGTTTTTGTATTGACCACACAAAGACAATGGCCGCGTTCCGTCTCGGGAGAGGGGAAAAAGAGGCACAGGAAATTTGCTCCTTACTCGATGTGGCCTCTTCTGTGCGGAGTTTGCGTTGAGGTGTGCGTTGGTTGCCGCGTGGGAAGGCGGGGGGGGGGGGGGGGCAGGGTGGGGGTGGCCCCGTCGCCGCGTGCAGCTCGGCCATCTGGGCACCTAATGCACCGAGGTGTCAATTGACTTCTGTAATTAAATAAGGCTGTTAGCGAGCCCTCCATTTGCTGCCCCGTCGCCCGCTACTGAAATGTTTGTGTAATGTTGTGTGGAAGCGTTATTTGTCACGAGCGCGTTCTCATAAACGTGCGCTGCTTTAAATATCAGGATCATTATAAGGATTATTACGCTGATACAACAATGATATCGGATTGATATTTAACCCACCCGACATATTTGAGTGATACGTTTGTATGGATGTTGAACTTCTTTCGCACCGTACGTAGCCAACTGTGATAATCATCGGAGGTGCATTGCCTAAGCCTTGTAAAGCCTTACATTAAGCGGACGCAAACGCGCTGAGGTTATTGTCATTTTGCATAAAGAGCCGGTGGTTCTTCGGCGAGTAAAGCAGCGCAGACATCGAACGCAGACGTTAATGTCCCATAATCAGTTTTAGAGTAAAAGTGTGCGATGAGGGGGAGGGCTCTTTGGGTGCGAGGGTTTGCGCCGTGCGTATGAGATTGACAGCGTGTCACGGCCCCCAGTCTCCGGGGAGCCCTCGCCTCCCCGCTGCAGAGCGCCGTGTCATGCCCTGTCAATCATCCCTCTTCTTCTCCCCGCCGGGGGTGTTGCTGCACTCTCGTCGTTTTTTGTAATCCCAGCTGAATGAGGTCAAAGATCTTTGCACAGAGTTTCCCCTCCTCATTCAGTTTTCGATAAAAACAAGACAAAAAAACGAATTGACCCGGAGTGACACCCGCTCACAATCAAATTTGTCACCACTAATATATCAATAGATTTATTCAAATTTTTTTTTACGGAAATTCCGATCTTTAACGATTGTTTTTATCTGTCTTTGCGGTATGTGTGTTTGGTGAGAGGTGTGAAGCCCTTTAAAAAAAAAAAAATCTGCGATGCTTTCGCGTCCACTCCCTGCTTTCGGAGGATTCCTTGACGATTCACAGACTCGCCCACGGCACATCGGAGAATCGGCACGAGCGAGAGCACCGGGAGAGAGAGAGAGCTGCCACCCGTTATCTCTTTGGGGATGACGCTTTGTGCACGGCCAACCTACGGAATCTTCTCACGCGAGTCTCAACCCACCCGCCCTTGCTCGTGCCACCAGGGAGGAGAAGGAGCGCTGGATCCGTGCCAAGTACGAGAGCCGCGCGTTCCTGGGGGCGGCGCCGCCCTGCGAGGTGCCGCTGGGCCAGCAGCTGCTGCGCGCCGTCGTGGAGGACGACCTGCGAGCCGCCGTGCTGCTGCTGGCGCACGGCTCGCGCGACGACGTCAACGAGACGTACGGCGACGGAGACGGCCGCTCCGCGCTGCACCTCGCCTGCGCCATGGCCAACGTCGTGCTGGCCCAGCTGCTCATCTGGGTGCGTGCGTGGGCTCGCTCACCTCGCGCCCACCCCCACCCCCCCCTCCTCTTTTACTTCTGCATTTTTATTTTTGAGACGTTCGTCACCGTCGCGAGAGATTCCCGTCCCGTGGCGGAGGGTCCGCTCGGTGATGCTTTTGTGCAGGTGGGGGTGGGGATATGGATCGAGACTTCATCTTCTCACACCGCCCATGGGTCACGTAAGGCCCGAACCGATTTGTTGATGTGGCCCACAAAACAATATTTATCCATCGCTGAAAACAAACATTTCAGCGACTGGGTATCGCTTGCAAGAGGCCGGTTTGGTAAGAGTTTCCCAGCTCACCTTTTCTACGCTGGTCCAGAGCTTTGCCCTGCTGGGCTCGGTTGATAAATCCACCTTGGCAGTCCACCGCCCTTGTCCGTTATTCTCATGTGGCATCAATTTCTCATAGATGTCATAACCCAACTGCAGCTCATTGTGTATTCTTAAATTTGTCATTTTATTTGAAAGTGCCTTTAATGGCCAGTGTAAAAAGCACAAAGGTTAAACTTTTAACAACCAGTTACTTAAAATGCAAACATCTCAAGACAAGACTCTTGAAAAGTTAGTCTCGAAGCCGAGTGAAGGATCGGATGAACAAACCAATATTATTGTTATGCAAATTGCATCGTATTCACAGTTGTCCAAAAATACATCAATAAACTAACTAAATTGCCCAATGTCTAAACTAATAATTACGTAGATATATCCCCTATTTCTTCAACGAAGCCAAACAGAACCTCTTATCTGCGACCGTGTGTGACAAAAGCCACTGAGCTCATGCGACGTACCAACTAATTAGTGCGGTTGGCTACGTACGGTGTAAAAGAAGTCCCAACATACACAATAGGTGACCGCTAACCAGCAATTGCCCCACCAGCGTGGCAAAAAACTACACGGGTGGGATCATTGCGTTTGTTTGCATCTCACGACCGCTGCCGCCTTCGCGTCACCCCCTGTGCCCCCCAGTATGGCGTGGAGGTGAGTGCGCGGGACGCGCACGGCTACACGGCGCTCGTGGCGGCTCGGCGCGCCGGTAGCCAGGAGTGCGCCGAGCTGCTCCTGCAGTACGGCTGCCCCGACGATGCCGGTGCCGGCAACGCCTCGGCGCCCACCCCTAACCCCACGCGGCGCAACCCCAACATCAACAACAGCAACTCCAGCGGCGGCAGCAACAACAATAACAATGGCGCCACCGTCGGCGCCGCCGCCGCCGCCGCCGTGGGCATGAGCAGCAGCAGCAGCTTCACCGGCAGGAGTGACATGAAGACCTCGGCGAGCATGATTTGAGCGGCGGACAAGCGAGCGCGAGCGGGCTCGCCAAGTGCGTGGGTCACGCATGCTCGGCTCTAGCCCTGCGCTCGTCCCGCTGCCTGGTTAGTCACGTATTGGCGGCATTGTCCGCGGTCGGTCAGGGAGCTGTCGCACGCGACCGCTAACAAGGCGGTCTGCTCGTTGTGTGAATCCGTGCTGGGTAGGGCATTGCATGCACAAGCGCTTTGCTTGTACGGCTACTCCACCTCTCCCATCTCACGAGCATGCTTGACAAGGAACAACTCTCTGCTTTGCTTCTTAAGTAATCTCCGTATAAAGTTCGCGTGTTCTTGCGAAAATGGGCACAGAGGCTCTTTTCTTGAGCTGTGCGTTTTTTTCAATGTTTCTGTTTAGTTTGTGTTGTCGGTAGAATGCATGTGGTCGTGTGGACGTTCTGGAAGGCTTGTGTGTGCGTGCGTGCGTGCGTGCGTCTGACCTTTGCCCCCATCCCCCCCCCCTCCCCCGTGAGGATCTTGCTGGGCGCAGGGCTGAGAGGAGGCCCCCGTATCGAGAGCGGGACAAAGCCCCACTGAGTTTTGGGGTCCCCCTTCGGTCACTGCCGTTGAGATTTACAGGAGGTGCTGCGACCACTGCAAAAAGTGCTGAATTAAACGTACGCGTAGGCACGTCACGTAACGACCCTGACGGCCAACTTGTGAATGTTCCAGTGCACGTCCAGTTTCAGGCTTGCATATGTAAATACACCCTGATGTCGGTCACAGCTACATTGCAGAGGCAAAAAAAGTGAACAAACGTGATCACCCCTCCAGCACTCCTGTTAAAGAACGTTATAGATAGCCCCACTTCATTGCTGGTATTTTCTGGTAACTTGGCAATTGTAGTGACTACAAACGGCAACAAAGTGTTGAGAATAATGAGAGCATTCAGGTGCCTGCGTAGTTGGCAGATGATGAGATGTACACGGCCTTTCGAACAAACAGTACCAGCGGCACGGAATGTATTTCAATAGATTTCACCGGCTGTTCTCTACAAGTTGCAGGTGTTTTGGCTTTCCCTGCAGTGTTATTGTAGTAGCTGCCTGTGCTGTGTATGGCTTGCATATTACCGTTCGAAAGTAACCACCTTTCATTCAACTAAACGCTACCCAGCAGGGCAGACTTTGAATACTCATTCTGGCTTGCTGCGGATAAATCCAGTACTTCACTTTGATCGCCATCGCACTATAACGCCGCCTGCAATTGTAGTATTTAAAAGTAGCTGCCACTGTAATGTGCATAGACGGGTTATTTGAGCAAGTGAAAAGTTACGTAGATTGCCTGCATAGCGTCTGCATATCGGTCAGGAATTGAGATGCTTTTTTGTTTCTTTCCTGCAGCACGACCACACGAAGGCAGTAGTTTGAAGTACAGTACTTGTGGTTACATTTTCATCTTTTCTTGCTCATTGGAGCCAGCGTTACATTGAGAATTGAATTCCAAGTAGTGACCACCATCTCTCTCCCTCTGAATTCCCCTGGTATCCGTCGACCCCCCTTCTGCTTTGGACCGTTCCTTCTTCACACTCCTGCCCCCCCACCCCACCCCCCACGTGTATGAAGGCACACCTTGCACAGGTGAATTCTTGGGTCGTTTGCAACTCGGCATAATGGGTCCTTTCATTAGGCAAGGGTGTGAAACCTGCGAGCTCCGCGTGGTTCCGGGCGAGAAGACAGGAAAAGAGGGACCTCGGATTACGATCTCAGCATGTGTTTGTTTGTGAGAGTCGTATGTGTGGCGTGTACAGCACCGCACCGCGTGCTCCTTCACACGGACGGTTTAATTTATTTACCTGAATCGCATTTGTACCATAGCGCGGGCCAGTGTATATTTTGTAAATGCTGCGACGTACAGCACAATATTTATAAGGTGTAAATAATTTTTATGCTCGTGCCGCAGGCGTGTATTTATTGTGATACCCCCCCCCCACCGCAGAACCCCACCTACTCCCCTCCCATAGTGCCGTCGGCACCTAAAGGTCCACAGTTCCCCCAACCTCTGGGCAGACAAGTCCACTAGGAGACCAGGGGAAGGGGGTCTTGGACCACCACAACATTCGGAAACCAAGGCCACCACGAGGCCAGGGAACAGGGACACTGGTCAGCCACGCGGCTGGGGCCAGTGAGGCCAGGGGGCCCTGAGTGTCGGCAACGGGTATGGCTAAAAGTCAGGGCTGAGACCCCCCCAGGGTCAGAGTGGTTGAGTGGCCTGGGTCAGGGGCTGGCTTGTGTGGCCCAGGGGACTGGGGTGTTCGGGATCCAGGGACACCAGTGAGTGAGTTGAGTGAGAGTGGGTGTGTCCCGGAGGTTGTTCCACTGCACGTGCAGGAATTGCGAAGTTATGTCCGTTTTATTTTTTACTCTCAATCTATACTCTGCGTTTAAACGTTTACCGTACAGCATATATGAGGCAGGGCTATTGTTGCTTAATTTCTTGTAGAAATGCATTGGAAGTCAGTATTATGTACTTTACACGTTCTCATAACATCAGGCGACTCATACCATGTAATGTATTATTTTAAAGATTAAAGAATCAATATATTGTTTGTTTTTTATTGTGAGAATATAAAAATGGAAATAAATTATAAAAAGACGTAAAATAAAAACAATACGAAAAGTGTTGAAATGAGAATGTTGTGTTTGTGCGAATTCTCTGTTCCTTGGAGTAACATCGTAGGTTAAACTCAAGCCAATATTTAACTTAACCGTACAGAGTATTATTAAACGGATCGTTTCTTTCATGATGCTGCGTTGGCAGTGGTGCACAAGCACAAGCACCACTGCAACGAATCCATAGTCAATTTGGTTGCTATCCAAACATAACATTTTATATTAACTATGTTCATAACAATATCCTTGTAGCACATTAGTGTGTAGTGAGTCCAACTTGAGTCGCAGACGTTGTCTTGGGAGCAACACTATTCAATAAATCGACACAACACAACACAACCTACACTTGGGTGTTGAATGCTCATCTAGCCATGCGACAGCAGAACTAGACACGGTTCGCTATCCCGGCCCGGGCCACAAGCTAGGTCCCGGACCGCGTGGCTAGAGGCTTCTTTTACCCGACGTGGATCTTCATCACCAGCAACACGAAGAACCCCGAGCCCCTCACGGGGCCCCCCGTTATATCGGCCCGGGCTGGGGCTGGCTCTGCCCCTCGCCCCGCCCACCTTCTAGATCTCTCGAGCTCTTTCCCGAAGGCTCCCGAGAGCTCCTCTAGACCACGTGATCACCCAATGGCCCCCGTCCACCGGTGGCCCCCCTCCAATATCATCCGGTAACGTGTCGGCAGGTCAACCAGCGTATCACGCCCCAATGTAACCCCTCTTGCTCCCTCACCGGGAGCCCGCACTGCACACTGTATGTGGTGCCTCTGCGCTGACCAGCGCTCACCCAAGCCCCGCTAGGGCTGGTACTACGCCCAGTAAGTGGGCTACACGTAATGCCAACACATTATCTGCCGTGGCTTCGTAAGCCCGGCACCACACAGTGACAATCACAGTCACTACAAGTGTATTAATTGTTTTGGCTTGCTATCATGCATGTAAATAGTACTTTTAGCTGAAGCTATTTTTTATTGCAGGGGTAAAAATATAGTAAGAGCAGAATACCCGGTTAAGATTTGCTCACTGCTTCAGTGGCATTCCATCTATGCAGGCTGGATGAGATGTCCATATACTCCTTTACCACACTAATACACTGGCCTCAGAGGTGCGTACGTGGCTAGAGGCGATTCTCACCCACTGTGAAGATATGCCGACCCAGGAAAACCTCGAGTCTAAAACATTCAGCCTGTGATGTTTGGCCAGTAGCATGTGTGTATAAATGTGTGTGGAGCAGTGGTACAGTGGTTAGTCCACTACACTGGGAACCTGGCTACCTGAGTTTGATTCCTGGAAACGAAACACAGTAGTGATAGGTTTTTACCCTTTCAACTGGTACAAAAACTGACACCTTTATACAAGGCATCATGTTTGCAATAACCACAATACAAGCAGTCAAAATATAAACAAAAAGAAACAACTCTGATAATGATATGCACTGTCCTTGAAGTTGATTGGTCCACACCTGAGACAGCTTTTCTTAGAGCCTAGTCTCCATTGGTGTTGGACCAGATGACGCCAAAAGGCGTACAATTCAAAAACAGCGCACTATCAGAGTACAGTAGCGAGTGTTATCTAAACTGATGCTAGGTCAACTCGGTCGTAAATGACTACCGGGTGCGTTTTATAAACGGCAGCACTGGAGAAACACGTGGCGGGGCGTGAATTTCGCCACACCCACCCCCGGGGTTATTCGCCATTCCAGCCTTCGTTCTGTGCTCTCTAAAAGCACATGCCCGTACAGCTTGTGTGTCCATGCAGGTCTCATCCAGGTGTATTTTGCATTCGGCTGATAACTGTGCCCTCTGCTACGAAGCCCGGTCCTGTTATGCAGGTGCAGCCTTGGGAGGGCTCGGTCACCTCTCAATGGAGTTGGTTCTACACAAAGAACGTGTCGCCTCGGGCACAGTAGGGATTTACAGGCTGCAGGCGCCAACGCCTCGTTATCTGCCTTAATTGGCCCTCGGAAGCCTTTTCCACCTTTTGGCATGAGCGTTGTTGCGTGGCATGGCGTGTGTGTGGCATAGTGTGTATGTGCACTGTGCCAACAAGGCGTGTGGTATTGTGCACGACGTGGCGTGTGCATGATGTGTCCTGTGATATGAGCCCTCAACACTTCTCATGGCCTTCGCGTGCACCTAGTCTGGCACACATGCGGCGATGACGACAGGGTCACTTGTTGTGTGGCGTGATGTGTAGCACGAGTGTCACATGGCGGTGTCAAACACACCCTGTGGGGAACACGAGCAAAGTGGTGAGTGCGCAGCTCTACAAACCTGGCGACCCGAGTTCGATTTCCGCTCACGGCCAACAGCAGCGGACGATTATCGGAACCGGTCCCGGACCTTTCGCGAGGTCACAACTCCGCCTCAAATGTGTACCTGGTGGCGCGCGTGTGCGTGTGTGAACATCACCACTGGGGAGACAAAAGCGGTCGGGCGTGTTGCTGCCTACCCACCGTCTCGTGTGCCGTACTGGCTTGCATGGGTGGTCGCTAAGAGCACTTGCCCCAGACGTGTATTAAGGCAATACGGGCGATCGTTTATCTTTGTTGGAATGTACGGTTATGGTTGTGTGTCGGGACGTGCCGAGTACCGTGGTAGTTCAGCTTCAGTAAAAAAAAACGTTGAGTCGTGCAAGCTTTGCTCTTGGCTACGCGCACGAGTCTTGTTGCATTAGGGGCCGTCCATAAATGACGTCACGTGATTTTGGCCGATTTTGTATCCCCCCCTCCCCCCCCTCGTCACACGGCGTCACAAAGTCAGACCCCCCTCAAATATGACGTCACAAAGTTCTGCCCCCTCCCCCCCCCCCCCAAAAAAAAACACTATTTTGAAAATAAAACATGCTTCAAATCACTTAAAACTATTGTCATTGTAGTGCGTATTTAATGTGGCGCTGCACTCTGATGTTGTAGGAGAAAACCATGTACAGTATTAAAAAGGAGGCGTTGGAAAGCTGAAATTTAGCATAAAATTCACTTGAAAATATTCAACGTCTAGCTAAATATTAAAAGTAATCATAACTATAAATAAATATTTGAAACTTTGTAGTAGAACGAAGCAAAATGGAGAGTACAATTGAAATGAGTGGTCTCCGACACGGTAAGTAATCCAAGTTGTTTATTCAATAAAAGCTCGGTACAGCCACGCGTCTCCGTCTATTTCTCCTTGCGGCGTCCACTCTTCTCGTGGCTACGCTGCCCCGTGCCACGTGGCGCTCACCCGCTCTCCAGCGCACCGCTGGCTGACGGTGCGCTAGGGAGCGGCAGGAGGACAAGCCGCTACGTGATGGATGGAGATGGCGGGGCAGCAGCGGCAAAGCTCCTCTTCAATCTTCAGCACCGACCCCCTTGCGTTGCTCTGTGTCCCGCTTATATCCCCCTACCCGGGTCTAAGCCCCGCCTCTCGCCACGCCCCTCCTGGAATCTTCCCGAACGTTCCCGAAGCCTCCCAGGTGGAACCGCCTCTCAACTTTCACCCAGATTCAAACCCCACTATGGATTAGTAAGGCTGTAGAATGAATACATGCCCCGTTAATAATCCAGGCAATGGTGCTCTCATTACACAATTATAACAATCATATATTAATTCCACAGAATGAAAAGCCCTGGTAGCATTATTAAAATAAAAATGTTTCATAAAATTAATTCAAAAAAATTACAAAATGTATGCTTGTCCATTCTCCTATGGAGAAGCAAAATGCTCCTTTATGGAATAAATAAAAGGGACCTTAGTAAATGTAAATAATCAAATAGTTACTAATGAAAATTAATTTTAAAAAATAGTGTTGTTATAACAATTATATTTAATTAAGTAGAACGTTAAAGTTGCGTATTTTGATGTGACGTCACATTTCTCACCCCCCCCCCCCCACTCGTTACACATCGTCACAGATGTCTGACCCCCCCTCCCCCGCCTAAGTGCGTGACGTCATTTATGGACGGCCCCTTAGGCATAAGCGATTTTGCGGAGAATGCGTCCATTTTTTTGGAACCCCACACTCAAAACTCAGCTGGCAGTTGCCACATTTAGTTCTGGGCGTGGTCGCGTGGCCTCATCCAGAACCAGGCCCGGAGGTGGGGGTTGGTGGGTCACGCAGAGACTCCTGACTACAGGGCAAAAAGGTACGCGTTGGAGAAGGCAGTACAGCCAATCGTGGCGTACAGCTCATGATGCAAACCAGGAGGGCTATGTCCATGAGTCCAGCCCCGGACAGCTCGGGATAAAGTAAACCCCGGGGCACAGGGGGTAGTGCATCGTGGAAGGCGGCTTGCGGTGGTGATGCAATGATGCAATGTGGCACACATTCTCACTCGACGCAGTGACGGAGCTACGGAGTGTGCTGGCAGTGAAACCGCACCGAAGCCCAGGGTTTTTCGGGTTACGAAAAAAGTGGAGGGTTGGGTATGGAATTGAACATTAGGGGTGGGGGTCCCAATGTAATTGCTCAAGGAGGCTGGCGCGTGTAACAACCGCCCACTGCCTGGAGTTTAGACTGATCTCATCACGTGCTCTCTGTATCTAAATCACAAAGGGTGCGCGAAGTTCAAACGCGGGGCTTCTCTTTTAATGACGGCGCGCGGTGGCGCGGAGCAGGCGGAGCCTCGAGATGAGATTTGAATTCAATTCAGAGGCGAACGCAGCGGTGCGCGTCCTCAGGCTCTCTCTCTCCCGTTACCTCTCTCCTTGCCTCCTTGTCCCCCCCCCACACCCGATCCCGCCTCTCTTCCTCCTCCGCAATGCAATTAATCAGGGCGTCGAGGCGGGCGCCTGCGATCCAGCGCTTTCTTGAAGGTGAAATTGTTGGTGGATCACGCAGAGGTTCGCGTGAAACTCAAGCAAAAATAAACAACAACAACCTGCTGAGCCGCGAGTAGACCGCGAGTTTGCAGTTGCAGCAAGTGGGCTCGCAAATCCTTCCGTAGGGATCTTCTAGCGGTATCCCCCCCTCCCCCCTATGATGGCGTGGTGAATTTTAACCCTTCCTTCCTACACGAAGTAAAACGCCGCTTATTGAA